CAATAGCTGGAGATGCAAAGACTCCATGTGTTGCCAAGCACTTAAATATAAGTTTTCGGTGAACTTTTTACGCCTCGGAAGTTTTTTTACTGAGTACACACTAATACTGCGCGAATAACAACTTGGCTGCCCTCTGGCTGCACCAGGTGGTTGGTGACAGGGTCACACAGGGCCATGATATTATTGCTGTCCAGTAGAGGGCGCGCGCAGAAAGAAGCCTTCTATCTGAGTGACAGCCCTGGCATCATGACACCCAGAGCAGGGGAAAAGGACCGCAACAAAGATGTCGCTACCGCATACTGGGCCCGCGCCTTAAATTGTAACTAACAAGTCATTTCAGAAACACCAAAAGGCTGGATGTGGTGGTGGACGTCTGTAATCCCAACACTTGGGAGGCTGAGGCAGGAAGATCGCTGTCAATTCAAACTCAGTCGCAAAGTGAATTCAAGGCAAACCTGCACTGCATTGTAAAAGTCTGTCTCCAAAAGCAAAATCAAACCACCAGTGCTCAATCAAACCTTAGTTTTCAAAACTGCCTGGGGATACGAGGTCTCAGAAGCCACTTAGATCCCATTAAAGGACTAATTCTTGTTTCTCTTCAAGTTCCACCACACCAACCCTGTCACTTTCTATACCGATTTAGCACGTGCTACCTTGCATTACACCTAATCTTCCTTGACTTAGCACCGTATAAGCTGGGTATGGTAGTGCGTGTCTATAATTCCGGCACTAGGGACTGGGGATTTAGCTCAGCGGCATAAGCACCTGCCTTGCAAGCAGGCGGTCGTGAGTTCGATCCCTGGTACCGATAAAAATGAAAAAGACAAAAAAAAAAAAAATTTATAATTCCGGCACTCTGGAGGCAGGCAGAAGGCAGGATTGCTAGGAGTTAGAGCACGCGGGTCAGGCCTGCCGGCCAATGGCGACAAGGCGTGGGTACACCGAGGGCGGGCCATACGTGCCAGACTTTTCCCAAAGACCCAGAAGACCGTCTCAAAAAACACTGATACTGGAGACGGGTACTTAGGAGATTTGCATGTGTCCCCACACAACCCAGCACACCATCTAGCATAGTTTATGGTACAGAAACCCAATGTAAGAGATGGTGGAAGCCAAGGAAAGGAAACTGAGGACAAGCCGGCCAGGGGAAAGACGCATCCCACCCTACGCGTTGTGGCCGGGGACCTCAGACTCAGGCCCTCTGGCCACGCCCAGGCGCCCTGCCAGCAAGCTGGCCTCCTGCACACAGCAAACACTTCTAGTGTCCGGGCCGCAGCCCGAATTCACAAGCCAGCCCTTTAGAAACCGCTAGGACCCTAGACTGCAAAGGAATAGGCTCCTCCCAGGCTTAATGGCGCCCAACTACAGGCGCCGCACTGCTACAAGCCAATGAGCAGGCGCGTAGGGACCGCTAGCCAATGGCGGCGAGGCGTAAGCACGGCGGGGGCGGGCCGTGCGTGCCAGACTTTTCCAGAAGACCCGGATAGAGCCTCTTGGCCACGCTAAACCCGGGCTGTGAACTACACGCTGTTTCCCCTTCTTCCTCCGCTGGGGCAGCGATGGCGGCTGTGAAAACCCTCAACCCCAAGGCTGAGGTGGCCCGCGCACAGGCAGCGCTGGCGGTTAACATCAGCGCGGCGCGGGGACTGCAGGACGTGCTGAGGACCAACTTGGGGCCTAAAGGCACCATGAAGATGTAAGGCGGGGCCGCCGGGAGGTGCGGGGCGCCGCGGGCGGGGGTCCGAGGCGCGCCCTTCCTCGCCGCTGCAGCCCCTCCTGGCCTCGGGTGTTCGGGCACAGCTGCTCCGCCTAGCCACCCTCGCCGGCAGCGACGCGTTCCCGGCGTCGATAAGGCGCGGCGCTGAACAAAAGCTGCCAGCGTGCGTGCTCCCCGCCCTCGGGGGCCTCACAGCGGTCTCGGGACGCCCTGGGGAAAGGCGAGGGTGACCGACCGCGCCCTCTCGGTTCCCAACGATCAGGGGAAAGGCCACTTTTGTGTGTGTTAAACCTCACGTAGTGACTTCATTTTCTGTCCATTGAACAGGCTCGTTTCTGGCGCTGGAGACATCAAGCTTACTAAAGATGGTAATGTGCTGCTTCACGAAATGGTGAGAGGCTGATGTACTAGGTTCAGAAGGACTTAATTTCCTGTAGTTTGCTTGACTTGGGCAAAGATTTCTAATGTTCGTCCTCTAGGTAGGAAAAAATTATATTCGGTGATGTCTCAATAAGTAACCTCAGACAGTGGAAGGAATAGGAAAGTTACTTGACCGGTAATAACAGAATACATTGAGGGGCCCTGGAATGTGACAGACTGTCTTTTGAAGCCTTACTCTTTTGCCATTTGCAGTCCAAGTTTGGGGATAAAAGCCTTGGCTGTTCTAACAGCCTTGGCTCTGTCCGCCCCAAAAAGATGAGCAGTGAAGAGCAGAAAAGAACCAGCAAGAGGATCCTGATCACTAAAATTAACTATAGTCCCAGTTTATTGTTTTTATAAAAAAACGATTCCTGGGGCTGCCTTTGTAGGTTGGTGGAGGAATACTCACCTACCATGTGACAGGTCTTGGGTTCCATCTCCAGCACCACAAAAAACTGAAAAACAATAATTCTTATGTTTCATCTCTCTGCCTTCACTTGCAAAGAAAGTAGTCTCATTAAGGGCCTACGATTCAAGAATAAATTGTATGCAATTTTTTTTTGTCTTTTTCCTTTTTATCTGTACTAGGGATTGAACTCACGACTGCCTGCTTACAAGGCAGGTGCTTATGCCGCTGAGTTAAATCCCAAGCCCCTCAAGAATAAATTGTTGGAAACATATTTCTCTCATTTTTTTCCAAATCCATTTTATTCAAATATAAAAAGAAAAAAATTTAACAGAATTTCAAAGCACGTCAATTAGGGGGGGCAGCAATGGTACACGCAATGCACATTGTCATCCCCAAAGCATTCACCCAGAGTGCAAGACAGCTGCATTCAGTTGTCCAAAGAATACCAGCACAAATCTTAGGCAAACTGAGAGAAATCAGTAGTATATCTTAGTTTTTTATATACGTGTACATACACACATACATAGGGTTTTTTTTTCAGCTTGTCACACTAACCAAGCAATATGATGTGTTTACACAAAATGTGTCTTATTTATTTCACTACTGAGTATGTTCCAAAGGTGCATCCATGTATTTTATCCATGTCTGAACTCCCAGAACCTAGCAGTTGGCATCCAAAAGAGGAATGACTTATCTCTGATTTGAGTTGAGAATAAAATCTGGGGTTTTATAGTGATAGATGATAACATCAATATCCAGATGTTTTTAAGTGTCTAAAGACTAGTTGATCTAGGAGATGTATTTATGAGGACAGCATTTGTTGTATATCCCAGGCTGGCCTCAGCCTTCCTAGGGCTGTTCTAGTTTTTTGTTTGGGGGTAGTGGTGGTGTTTTTTGGCTTTTTTTTTGAAACGGGGTTTCCTCTATGCAGTGCAGTCTGGTCTTGAATTCACTTTGCAGCCTGGGCTGGCCTTTAACTCACTTTGTAGCCTGGGCTGGCTTTGAACTGCCTCAGCCTCCCATGTCTGGCCTGTTCTGGTTTTTTGAAACAGGTTTTGATTCTGTAACTCAGGCTGGCCTTGAACTCATGATAGTCCTGCCTCAGCTTCCCAAGTACTGATATTAAAGGCATTTGCCACCTTACCTGCTTTCTTTTCTTTATTTGATTAAATGCCAAGCTGTTCTGAAGGCTACTGGGCTTTTGTTTTAAAAGATACTTAGCTTATTCCCACAACCACTAGCCTTGTTCTTTTGTTAGTTTGTCAGCTTTGTAAACCTTAACTAAGCCTCAGGTTTCTTGATCAGTAAACTGAAAATAATCTGAGAAGTAAATTTGTATGAGAACTTTTTTGATGATCACAAACTGGTGTGTAAAATAGTTAATTGTGATTTTTTTTTTTAAACGTAATAGAGCTGGAATAGTAGAAAGCATTTGCAGAACCTCTTCGCAGATTTCAAGATACATTTCATTTTTATTTTATTTTTTGAGGCAAGGTCATACTGTGTTCAGGCTAGTCTTATACTCACTGTGGAGCCCTGGTTGCCCTCAGACTCACTATGGTCCTCCTGCCTCAGCCTCTTAAGTGCTGGGATTACAAGTATGCACCACCATGCCCAGCTTCAAAACACATTTTAAATCACTGAAGTCACTCTTGATTGTTGAACTAGGGTCTAACTATATATTTAGTCAAGTCAACCTTGAGCTTACCATGTAGCCTAGGCTGGTGTGGAACTCATGATTTTCTTGTTCTCAAAGTACTAGAATTGCTGGCAGCATCCCCATGCAGAGTTATTTAAATAATTCTTTCTCCCTTTCAGCAAATTCAACACCCTACAGCCTCTTTAATAGCAAAAGTAGCAACAGCCCAGGATGATATAACTGGTGATGGTACTACTTCCAACGTCTTGATCATTGGCGAGCTGCTGAAACAGGCAGATCTCTACATTTCTGAGGTACACATAATCCTGGTTTCTGTGCTGTTATATATAGGAAATGTCTGATACGTGTGTGTATTGATGTGTTAATTATAGCCAAGACCACCCAGAATGTAAAGATGGAATTTAAATCTAGGAACCTCGTCTTTATCCTAATGTGACATACAATCATTTTATGATTATGGACAAGTTAAAGAACATTTTATGGTCTGAAAAAAAATTCATGAAATTCTTTTTCATGTATAATTGAAATGCAGTAATCAGGGCTAGGCATATAAGGAAAAGGTCAACTAACATTTAAGAATTGTACAGCTTTTTTAGCCCAGAGTAGTCCTGAGTTTAAAGCAAACAGCAGAATTAATCCACTGTCAGAATTTCCTGGAAAGAGTCTTAGTGTCCATTTGTTTATTTTTATTGCTAAATAATGTGAATTTCAGATTACCGATAAGAAAAATAAAATGTTCCTATGGACTGCAGATATTTGGAGTGCAGGGTGGAGTTTTGGTATTGTCTGGCGACTTGCACAGTGAACACCCAAGTGTGCTTTGTAGTTCCTTGGCTTTGACTCTGTGCTAGAGTAATGTCCTGTTCTTTCCCTCTGCATTGAAAGGACTATTTTTTTCCTTTTAAATGTATTCAGAAAGGCAGCACATACTACCTAAATTTTATTAAAATTATGAATGAACCAGAACATCCCTTCAAAAATTATCTAAGTTACATTTCTATCTACTTAAAAGGGGTAGGTACTAGTAGTGATTCTGTAATTGCGTGTTGACTAGGGTCTTCATCCGAGAATAATTACCGAAGGTTTTGAAGCTGCAAAGGAAAAGGCACTGCAGTTTTTGGAACAAGTCAAAGTAACCAGAGAGATGGACCGGGAAACACTTATAGATGTGGCTAGAACGTCTCTGCGTACTAAAGTTCATGCAGAACTTGCAGATGTCCTAACAGAGGTATGTGTTCAATCTCATGCATGTCTGATACGATTTGGGGAGTGGGGCGTGTGGGTAGTGTATGTAGTGTGTACTGGTCAAATCCATGGCGATGAGCATTCGTATTTCCTTAAGCATTTGCCATTGCTTAAGGAATTTTTTTTTTTTTCATGATGACCCATCTTTGATGCTTAAGGAATTTTGATGTTCCTCTTCTACTTCATTACAAAAATAAACTGTAAATATACAGTTATTGGTATTTTTAATTAAATAGTGGGGGAGATTGATTTGGGGGGCAATGCAAATTGAGAATTTGAAAAATGCAAATGATTTAAGCCTTTAATTTGTAGTATATTTTATTTACTCAGAGGAAAGATCCATTTAGAGATTCTAAAGTGAAGAGACTATGTTTAAACTTGTACACAGCGTATATTTCAATTTCTTTCTTTCTTTTTTTTTTTTTTTTTTTTGTCTTTTTCCTTTTTATCGGTACCGGAGATCGAACTCACTGCCTGCTTGCAAGGCAGGCGCTTATGCTGCTGAGCTAAATCTCCAGCCCCATATGTTCCAATTTCTGCAAAAAGAAATTCATTATACCTCTGTTGTAGGCTGTGGTAGATTCCATTTTGGCCATTAGAAAAAAAGATGAACCTATTGATCTGTTCATGGTTGAGATCATGGAGATGAAGCATAAATCAGAAACAGATACAAGGTAGGTAAAGAGTGCTGTGAAAACTTTTTTTTTTTTTTTTTTTAATTCTGTCTGTGGAACCCTGGAACCCAGAACTTTTATATGCTGAGCAGGGATTCTTACCACTGAACTACACTCCCAGACTGAAATAGGTAGTACATTTTTTTGTTTGTTTGTTGTTTTTGTTTTTTTGAGACAGGCTTTGGCTGAATAGCCAGCCTGAACTACACAGCAAACCTCCTACCTCAGCCTGGAGTGTGTTGGGATTATAGCTGTGCACCACCACACCTGGCTCTGTGCAATGCATGTTTTCACCAGATAACTTCAGGTGAACTTACATTTATGTTGGATAAGTTGCTGAGTATCATATCTATTCTTAGAAATACTTCTGAAAAAAATTTCTTAAAAGTATTTCAGAAATGAGGGAGATGATGTGTTTATGGTTAGACTATGAACAACATTGATGATTTGGCATTTATTGAAATACTTGGGCACAAAATATAAAGGGAGACTTGGGGAACTAAGCAAAAAAATGTTTTTTTGATCACGTTGTGGTGGCTTGTGCGTGTAATCCCAGCACACTGGAGACTGAGGCAGGAGGATTGCCTTGAGTTCTGGACTGTATAGTGGGACTCTGTCTCCATAAAAAGGAAAGAAAAAAAGTTTTCCAAAACCTAATTTGAAAACTTGATATCTTCCTGGAGTTTGAATCCAGTCCAAACCCTTCATACAGAGCTGCATCCTTGGCTCTGTTTAGCATTTGGTTTTTAACCTTTTTCAAAGAAAGTAATAGCCACAGTTTGACAGCTGAGACTCTCGCTACAGGGGTTTTTTGTTTTTGTTTTTTTAGTACTGGGAATTGAACCCAGAGCCCTTATTCTGAGCTGTGTCTCCAGACATTAGCCTCCCAGAATGCTGGGATTCTGCAGGGTTTTTTTTCAAAAGATAGAGTTGACACTTGTTTGAATGTTCTGCAAAATTTCTGTCTCGCACTTGATTTTCTGTATGTCTCTGAAAAGTCTTGTTGAAATAAATAAAAAAATAAAGCTGATCAATGTGCAGATTATCTATACAGTCTCAGTTTAATGTTTACATTTTGGTGTGTATGTTCCTATCCTATCTGGAAATGAGTAACTATATATTTTGTTGTTTTAATAGCTTAATCAGAGGGCTTGTTTTGGACCATGGAGCACGGCATCCTGATATGAAAAAAAGAGTGGAAAATGCGTACATCCTCACGTGCAATGTCTCCTTGGAGTATGAGAAAACGTAAGCTTATGGTGCCTCAAGATGGAATAGCAGCATGTTATTTCATTTTTGTCTTTTTGAGACAGGGTCTCTATGCAGTTCAGGCCAGCCTTGAGCCCACTTTGTAGCCCAGGCTGGTCTCAAACTCAAAACAATCCTTCTGCTTCAGCCTCGTGAGTGCTGGGATTACAGGCGAGAGCCACCACACCTGGCTTGAACTCTAGATTTAACTGTCCTGAGATTTAAGCCAGTTAGCTTGATGTTTTCTACTAAAAAAAAATAACAAAAAATTTCCCCCTTTCTGTAACATTTTTTAATAGAGAAGTGAATTCTGGCTTTTTCTACAAGAGTGCAGAAGAGAGAGAAAAACTAGTAAAAGCTGAAAGAAAATTCATTGAAGATAGAGTTAAAAAAATTGTAGAACTGAAAAAGAAGGTCTGTGGTGATTCAGATAGAGGATTTGTTGTTATTAATCAAAAGGTGAGTAAAAATTAGATTTATAAGTGAAATTGTCTGCCACATTTTTTTTTTAAAGGCGAAAGATACTGAAACTTGTTTTTGTTGTAGGGAATTGATCCCTTCTCTTTGGATGCCCTTGCCAAAGAAGGCATCATAGCTCTGCGTAGAGCTAAAAGAAGAAACATGGAGAGGTATGGGCAGGTCACTGTGGCAGTCTTAGGTATTTTGCAAGTGAATTAAGATTCTTTTCCCTCTCTATGTAATTTTTTACACTTTTATCTATGCACAGTATAGATAATAAAAATTACCACTTGAACTTGTTATTCTGTTTCAACACTGTGCTCTGTGGACTTGATGCATGCAGGACAAGAGCTGCATAATTCTGTGGTCACTGATATAGATTTGATTTCTTATTTATTTATTTATTTTTTTTTTTTTTCCTTTTTCGTTTTTATCGGTACCAGGGATCGAACTCACAACTGCCTGCTTATGCCACTGAGCTAAATCCCCAGCCCCCATGATTTCTTGTTTATTGTATTTTTGAGGCCAGATCTTACTGGGTAGTGCAGGCTGGCCTTGAGTTCACAGGCTCCTGCGTCAGCCTCCCGAGTGCTGAGATTACAGGTGTGCACCACACATCTGGCAGTGAGAATGGTTTATGAATTCTTTTTTTTTTTTTTTTTTTTTTTTTTAATTTAAATTTAAATTTTTTTTTGGTACTGGGGATTGAACTCAGCCAGCTCACACTTGCCAGTTAAGCGCATATACTGCTGAGCTGAATCCCCAGCCCTGGGGAGGGTGGTTTTTTTTTGGGGGGGGGGGGTTTAAATGGAGAAAAGAATTGTTCTCCGCTGGTGATGGTGAACAAAAAGACAACGTTGAGCACATTTTAGAACATAATTTCATTTGTAGTTCTGAAATTTTTTTATTACTGTTAGTCTTTTCTAAACAGAATAGGTAATATTGCCTGTGTGACTCCTTTAAAAACTGTTTTTAATATTTCAGGCTGACTCTTGCTTGTGGTGGGGTGGCTCTCAATTCCTTAGATGAGCTAAGTCCTGACTGTTTGGGACATGCGGGACTGGTTTATGAGTACACTTTGGTAAGCATTTTTCCATCTGAAAACTAATTGTCCTATTCTATTCATGAGTTTTTCTGTAGAAAAATTCAAACTCAGGATGTGATTTTTCTTTGTTATTTAAAGTTCATGATTTATACAGATAAAAATCCATCAAAGATCCAATTTGTTAAAAGAAAAAAAAAGATCCAATTTGTTCTTTGAGACAGTCTTGGTATGTATGTCAGCTGACTTTGAACTCACTGTGATCCTCTTGCCTCAGCCTCCAAGTGCTGGGTTTGTAGGCATGCACCACCACAGCCAGATCCTATTTCTTTTTTTTTTTTTCCTGGCACCAGAAAGCAAACTCAAGACTTAACGCTTGCCAGGCAGGTGCTGTGTACCACTGAGCTATATCCCTAGCCCCCCCAGTTCTTTTTTTTTTTTTTTTTTTTTTTGTCTTTTTGAGACAGTCTCAATATGCAGTTCAGGTTGGCCTTGAGCTTACTTTGTAGCCCAATGATTCTCCTGCCTCAGCCTCCCAGAATCCTGGGATTACAGGTGTGCGCCACCACTCCCAGCTTCCCAGTTCTTTTTTTTTTTTTTTTTTTTTTTTTACTTTTTATCGGTACCAGGGTTTGGAACTCACGACCGCCTGCTTGCAAGGCAGGTGCTTATGCCACTGAGCTAAATCCCCAGCCCTCCCAGTTCTTTTATACGTGCATTTTTTTGCTGTAATTTTCTTTTCATGCGTATATGTGAGTGATTCATGCGTATATGTGCAGTTCAGGCTGGCCTTGAGCTCACTTTGTAGCCCAGGCTGGCCTCAAATTTGCAACAATCCTCCCGTCTCAGCCTCCCCAGTGCTGGGATTACAGGTGTACACCACCATATCTGGTTTAAATTTTTGTGGTACTGAGGATTCAACTTGTGACCTTGCACTTGCCAGGCAGGCACTTATGCTGCTGAGCTAAATCCCCAACCCTTAAAATTTTCTTCAATATGGTGGATGCTGTATCTTCTGAATGTGCTATGACTGTCCTATGTCCTATGACTGTCTCTCCATGCCCCCTTTGCCTTATGTTTACTCTGGGCAGCTGTATATTGTTTGTTAAAATGCAGTCTTTTTTATATGTAGGGGGAAGAGAAGTTCACCTTTATTGAAAAATGCAACAATCCCCGCTCTGTCACATTATTGGTCAAAGGACCAAATAAGCATACTCTCACGCAAATCAAGGATGCAATAAGAGATGGCTTGAGGGCTGTCAAAAATGCTATTGATGATGGTAAGACCTTCACTACGTTAGTACTCTGTAAGTCTAGAAGGCATGGCTGAATACTGTGTTCTTTAATCAGTAGTTTACACAGCCAGACACCATGCAAAAGTAAAAACTTCCTTTTAAAATGACAATGATATGCTGTTTTTTCATGGTGTATCATTATTAAAAGTGATTACAAATAATGAAGCAGCCAACAGCTGCCAAGTGCTAAGCTGAGCCATTTGGCTGTTTGATTTGTTAGTTATTTATATTGTGGCTTTCGAGTGCCATTTATGTGGGGTCTTTTCTTTATAGTTGGTTCTACGGTTTCTTCTCTTGGGCTCAGCATTTCTGTCTTCTCCCACGTGAACAGGCTGCGTGGTTCCAGGTGCTGGTGCGGTAGAAGTGGCGATGGCAGAAGCGCTGATGAAACACAAGGCCAGCGTCAAGGGTCGGGCCCAGCTCGGAGTCCAGGCATTTGCCGATGCCTTGCTCATTATTCCCAAGGTGCGAGTGTAACCTTCATGGTTTTCTAAATTGCACCAGAGCAATTCAGCTGGTTGAGCATTCTGATGTATGTAGGTTTTTCAAACCTGAAAATGTCTGGATAAGCAAGTTGACCTGCTTTTTCACATGTCTAAATTATCCCCATATCATCTTTTTTTTTTTTTTTTTTTAAGATAGGGTCTCAAAAAGAGTATTTTGTTCCTTTGGGAGATTTGAATGTCTCTGAAGTTTCACATACCAGAGAAATAGTTTAAGAATATTTGCAGTATGGATTTTATGCTTGATTTCTGTTGTTTTTAGTTAAGCTGACAAATTGGATCATTGTTTTCTGTTAAATTCATTGAAGGGTCAGGTCTAGGAACAGTGTGTTGCTAGGTTTGCAGCAGGTTAGAGGTTGCAATGAATGTGGCTGTTCTCTGAAGGGACGAGAGAATGTAAGTAATGGTTGTCTTATTTATTGTAGGCTTTCCCCTCAGTTCTTGGTTCCTGTATCTTTAAGAATTGAACTTCTTTATTTTAGGTTCTTGCTCAGAACTCTGGCTTTGACCTTCAGGAAACATTAGTTAAAATTCAAGCAGAACATTCGGAGTCAGGTCAACTTGTGGGTGTGGACTTGAACACAGGTAAGAGAATGAAACCAGCCATGTGTAGAGGAGAGCTAAGTTAGTGGGTGAGGGTGGAGCCAGGGCTGTCTGTATGTGAGGACTAGGAATCCTGGGGATTTCTTCACAGTTAAAGATAGCAGTGCTTTGAGGGAATTCTGGACTCTAAATTGGGATAAGTAGAAGATAAAAATGGAATGAAATAGAATTAGGGCATGGAGTAGACAAGTTGATCATATCACAGAGTGGATTTCTCAGAGTGTGGTATTTTTGTTTGTTTTTTTGGTGCCAGGGATTGAACTCATGACCTTGATGTGTGATTCTTGTTGGATTTACCTTAACTAAAATTTTCCCGTTAAGTTGTAGGAATTTATTTAAATAACCTACAGTTGATTAAATAAAAGAGAATTCATGTTAAATATAGAAGCTATTTGAGGAAAGATGCAGAAATGGACTCTGCATACACTAATGATGCCTCTAAAACTAATTATAACAAAAAACATAACTAAATTTTTTTGTTTTTGAGACAGTTTCATTATGCAGTTCAATTTTTGTTTTGTTTCCTTCTTTTGAGGCAAGGTCTCTCTATGTAGTTCAAACTGGCCTTGAACTCACTAACTTTGGTTGGCCTCAGAATCACCATGATCCTCCTGTAAGCTGGGATTACAGGCACTAGGCACCATTCCCAGCTTGCTTTCTTTCAGTACTGGGGATCAAGCTTAGGAAACACTAAGCTACATTCCTAGTCCTTTTTTAAGATTTTATTTTTATACAGGATCTTACTAAGTTGCCTTGGTTACTGTTTCTTTGAGGTGTCCAGGAATCAAAGTCAAGACCTCATGCTTGCCTGGTAGTTGCTGTACCGCTGAGCTAAATCCCCAGCCCTCTTAAATTTTAAAGAGTTTAATTGGTTTTATTTTCTGTTCTGGAATTTCTAAATAGAATAAGCAGCCAGGCTGGTGACACACACCTGTAACCCTAACACTTGAGAGGCAGAGGTAGGAGTTCAAGGCCAGCCTGCACTACAAAATAAGACCCTCACTGGGCGTGGTGGTGCATGCCTGTACTCCCTGCACTTGGGGAGCTGAGGCAGGAGGATCAGGATTGTTGTAAATTCAAGGCCAGCCTGAATTGCATAGTGAGACTCTTATCTCAAAAAAGCAAAAAGGAAAAAAAAAAAAGCAACACGTCTTTCTGTCAACAAATACAAACTTCTGCTGTTCTTTCAGACAGCATCCAGTTTCATGGCCTACTACATGTGATTCTGTTCCCTTTCAGGTGAGCCAATGGTAGCAGCAGAAGCAGGCGTGTGGGATAACTACTGTGTGAAGAAACAGCTGCTTCACTCCTGGTAAGTTTGGCTTTGGGGGAAGCATCTGTTCTTTGCTTCGTATGTCCTGGCCCCTCACCCCGCAAAAGAATGGAATGGTGAACAGACTGAAGTACCCTGTACAGAGGAGCAGGGATGTGCACCAGCTTGGTGTGCGCATGCAGGAAATGGAGTCTGGCTTGGGGGAGAGCGTGCAGCTGAGCCTCATATTTGCTTTCTCCCTTTCAGCACTGTGATTGCCACCAACATCCTCCTGGTAGATGAGATCATGCGGGCTGGGATGTCCTCGCTGAAAGGCTGAGTGGAAGCCTCCCTGTATCATCTGAATCCTGGAGACCACAGAAGGATCCTGAAGAATAGAGTTCTGGAATTTCTGTTCACGCTTTAAGTGATTTTCAGAGGAATTTTCTTTTCCCACATGAAGAAAAGGAGAAAACACTTGGTGTCTATTCAAATTATGATGTTACGGAATTCTAATTACAGTATTTTCTAGTTGCACTGAGTGTACACACATGCAGGTCCTTTTTACCCAGAAAACAGGTGGCTTTGTTTTAGCTGTATTAACATAAAGTTAACTTGTTTATTAAATATTCCTTGAAAAACCATTTTTAACGGTTTAGTAATTCCCTGTGGACATGGATGTTTTGTTTTGTTTTGTTTTGTTATCTTTGAGACAGAGTTAAACTGCAGTTCAGGCTGGGCTTGAACTCACTTTGTAGTCCAGACTGGCCTGTAACTCCTGCCTCAGCCTCCCAAGTGCTGAGATAACAAGGGTACCACCATGCCCAGCTCCTGTGGATATGCTTTAAATTAAGCAACAGTTCTCTGTTAAATATTTACATACTACGTTATGCTAATATAAATATCACTTGAATAATTTAAAAACTTGGATGCATCTGTCACCCTAGTATAGATTTCTAAGTAAAATCACTTGAACTCATGCTTTTGAAACACCTTTGCTTCCTCAGAAAGGTTATGTTTCCGAAACAAAGGTGCATGGTGGCACATGCCATAACCCAACACTCAGGAGGCTGGGGCAGAAGGATCCCATGAGTTTGAGGCCAATCTACTACATGCTGAGACCTCAAAAATACGTTTAAAAAGTTGCATTATAGTTGCAAGCTTGACGTGAACTAAGTAGATATAAGGAAACAGAAACCTGCAAGTATACAGTGGCAAAAATAGAGGTACAAGCCAGGCATGGTGACTGAAGCTGCGAGTTCATCACGTTTGAAGTCAGTTGGAGCCACATACCAAGACCCTGCCACAATACAAAACAAAAAAGCTGGACTAAGAACTGGGGTTATTAGGTAAAATATTGTTAAGGGTTACTTAGTTTCAAGTTTAAGAACTTAATGCATTTAAAAATATCCAACTCTACTAGCTCCATTTTTTCAAATTAGTATTCTAGTTCCGAATAAATTCCTTTCATGGAGCTGATAGCTGCAGTGAAGTTTAATGGCATAAGCTTTGTATTTGGGGGCTTAGCACTGTCCTACAGTGCATGCAATAAATAAATTGAAACCTTTCTGTGGTCTTGCAGTGGAATAATGCACTAAATAAAACAACTACTATAAAAGGTTGAAATAAGTCCCAAGGTGTTTAAGAATAGTGGAGGGACTGCTGGGATAGCAGGATTCAGCACTGCTTTTCCTTAATTCCGGGCGGGCTCTGGGATGGGAGGGCGAGAATTTCTGAACTCTGGACTGCGCACGCGCGGAGGGTGTGGCTGCCGGCGTATGCGTGCGAGTGCATGCGCAGCGGGGCTCGCGTGTTCCTTGTGCTGGTCGGCATGGGAAGCTCCTTAACGTGGTTGCTGTCGGTGCTGTGGCTCCTGTCCGTCCCATGGCTCCAGCTAGGTCAGTCTGCTAGGTCAGTCTGCTGGCCTCTGCCGGCGCCACCTGTCCCAGATGCAAGAGAAGGGGTGGGCATCCCTCCCAGGACGGGCTCGCCAGGGCGGGACGGGCGGCGCGGGGCCCTGAGTCACTGGCGCTTTGTTGCTTCCCACTTCTCTGAAAATCTGTGAACACGAGAGAAAAATGCAGACCGGCCCCTCCTGGCCCTGTCGTTTGGCCTGAAGAGTTGCCAGTTTGTGACACCCTTGCTCTCTGGTGGGGTCCCCTTACTCCTGGGACCGGAAGTGAATCTCAGCCTCGCACTAGTTCTCCGAAATTCAGCTCAGGACCCAGGAGGTCATGGAAGGAATTGAATATGAGTTCCGCTTGAGCACGGGCGATGTTCCAATGTGATTCCAGTCTCACATTCACCGCTCCAGTTTTTCCCCCAGTACTGGGGGATCCACCCAGGACTGTAGTTGGCAACTATATCCCCAGCCTTTTTTTTCCCCCCACCCCCATATGGGGAATCGAACTTAGGACGTTGCTCTTGCCATGCAGGTACTATGCCACTGAGCTATATCCTCAGCCTCTAGCCTATTTTTTTTATCGTATTATTATTTATTTTTAAATTTTGAAACAAGATCTCACTGAATCACTGAATTACCTAGGCTGACTGAGCTTGAATTTGGGATCCTGCCTCAGCTGCCCAGAGTGCTGGGATTGCAGTTGTGCACCACCACTCCGTTTATCTCAAAAATACTTACAATTTGCTTGTTGGATTCAGGTCAAAACAAAGTACATACATTGCAATTATGTTGTTTCTTAATTCCCTTTTAACTTGATATTTGCTTGCTTACTCCTTTTTGTTTTTCCTAAAATGTATTTGTTGAGGGGAAACTGAAATTGGATGAAATGAGCGTGTGTGGCTAAAGTGGCAAAAGACAGCCTTGAGGAACATCAGAAGGCCTGTACTCTGCCTATGGGACTGATGTGTTTGGATGTCCTTCCTGAAAGTACTGAAGAAGTCTGTCAAGTCAGCGACTGGCTTCTGGGAGCACTGCTGAACCCAGAGACCTGGGTCGAGTCCTGTGTCTGAGGATCCACTTTTTCTCTGCAGTCTACCCCTGAGCTGCACTCCCAGACCCAAGCCAGCTCTTAAATCAGCTTTTTGGGTCTTGGTTTCCGCCTAAGAAATAAAGAAATGGAAGATTCTTTTTACTGTGTAGTTTTCTGAGGCATTCAAATAGCAAGCTTATAAAGGAGCTCATTTGGTTATTATAATTATGGCACATTCATGCTGTGTGCCAGGGCTATCCAGGCAAAATAGATACGGTCCTTTTCCTTCTGCAGCATATGCTGTAGTGGTGAGAATAATTTAGAATTTATACCTGCCAGGGATATAGCTTAGCGGCAGGACACCTACCTAGCAAGGGTGGGATTATGAGTTAAATTCCCACTATCAAAAAAAAAAAAAAAAAATGTATACTCAGTTTGGTGTTTGGGGCTTGTAGTCCCAGCACTGGAGAGGCAGAGGGAAAGGATCACTTGAGCCCATGAGTTTAAGACCAGCCCAGGCAGCATAAAAGCTGTCTCAAAGGAAGAAAAAAGATTAATGTTCAACAAATGGAGAGAAAGAGGAGAAACAGCATGGCAGAAAAAACAGAAAATGCTAATATGTCATGTATGGTAGCCCAGACCTGTAATCCTAGCACTCAGGAAGCAGAGGCAGGCAGATTACTGTGAGTTTGAGGCCAGTTTTGGCTACATAGTGAGTTCAAGATGAGCCTAACTATATAGTGAGACATCTGGAAACAAAACAAACAAAAAAAAAAGCTACATATATTTGAGTATTAGATTACAGTTTGAAATTTTACCTGGCTGCGACAAAAGGTTGTGTTGAGGACTAAAGAGGCAAGTGATGAGCTCAATATTTTACATGTATTTTAATTCATACAGTTCTCACTATTTTATAGATGAGAAAATTGGATCCTATATTATTTTTCCTGAGGTCCCTCAGCAAATAAGGTGGCACAAGAATTTAAAGCCAGTTTTTTTGTTGTCACTGTAATCCTAGGGTTTGAACCCAGAGCCTTCGCACCAAGTCGCATCCTGGCCTTTTCATTTATCTTGAAACTAAGTCACTAATTTGGTCATACTGGGCTCAGTCCTCCTGCCTGAGCCTCTCAGAGTGCTGACATAGAGGTGACGCCACCATAGCTGGCTAAAGTCCAGTAGTTCAGCTTCTACTCTTTGTCTTTTTGTACTGTGAGTGATGAGTATTAACATTTGATACCAATAATCCCCTTTGGCCCATACCCATGGGTGCATCACTGATACCTGTGCTTTTCTGCAGGAAACTCGCAGGCCGCTGACATGGTCCAGCTGCTTGGTGGGCAGTTCCTGATGGGGACAGATGCTTCGGATGCCAGAGATGGTGAAGGCCCTGCCCGGGAGGTAACAGTAAAACCCTTTGCCATCGACATATTTCCTGTCACCAATAAAGACTTCAGGTACATCAGGTGTTTTTCAGGGGGAGTAAAGGCTCTTTCTAATCTGAATTCCTGATTTCTAAAGGAAAGTAGCTTATTTGCTGTCACTTACCATCTTACGAGTGGTACTATGAAAAGTGTCATCTCCATCTTTCATCTGAAAGCCAGAGAGGTTTGACTTGACCCTGTTAGCAGAAGATCTAGGCCTAGAACTCATATCCTTGATTCATTTTATTCTATTATTCATTATTTATTTATTTATTGTATTTGGAAAGAATTTGGAACCTTTTCACTAAGCTACATTCCAGCCCTTTTTATTTTTTTAAATTTTGAGACAGGGAGCCAGGCTTGGTGGCACACTTTTATAATCCCACCACTCTGAAGGCTGAGTCAAGAGGATGATTGGAAGTTCGAGACCAGCTAGGCTATAAAGTGAGTCAAAGGCCAGCCGGGGGGCTGGGGATTTAGCTCACCGGCATAAGCACCTGCCTTGCAAGCAGGCGGTCGTGAGTTCTATCCCTGGTACCGATAAAAATGAAAAAGACAAAAAAAAAAAAAAAGTGCCAAAAAAAAAAGGGCCAGCCTGAACTGCATAGAAAGACTGTGTCTCAAAAAGATTTAAAAAAAAAATTTTTTTTTTGAGACGGGTCTCACTATATAGTCCTGCTCACTGGACTAAGTTGCCTAGGCTGGATTCAAAGTCATGCTCCTCCTTCCCAGAGTGCTGGAATTACAGGAGAATCTCTTGACTCCCTTGTTGCATTAGCCCCAGCCCTGGCTACATTACTGAGAACAGGAGCAGAAGTAAACACCCAGAAGAAGCTTGTTTTGGCAGGGAGAAAGGTAAGAGTTAGGGAAAGGATCATACTGGTGGGTATGGTGGCACATGCCTGTAATCCCAGCACTTGGGAGGTTGAAGCAGGAGGATCACTTTGAGTTTGAGGCCAGGCTGGAACACACAGTGAGTTCAAGGCCAGCCTGAACTACATAGTGCAATTCTGCCTCAAAAATCCAAACTTTAAAAAAGTCCAAAATATCCAGAGATTTAGCTCAGCAGTACAAGTAGTCTGTCTGGAAAGTGGAAGGTCATGAGTTTGATCCCTGGTACAAAAAAATAATATTAATGATCCAGAATAATAATAAAATTAAACTGAACGATAGATAACTTCTAATCTCATTGGTGCCATAGCATGACAACCAAAAATAGATGAACAATATGCATTCTTTTATATTTCAAATTATGAGCTATAGTATCATGGAAATAGGATGTCACCTCTAACAAGTCCCTCTATAATATATCCCTGCTTCTCTAGTAAGAGGCTGAGAAGCCATATATATGTTCTGGGCCTAGTAAGTAATATTGCTCAAAATTTCCCTATCACTGACTGCTTTTGCAAAGCCTCTTTGACAGGTAAACAATACCTTCTTTTATCAGAAAACTTAAACAAAATGCTGTTAACTCTAGAAAAACAATTCATTTTACCCCTATAATCTGTTTGCTGAAATATACTAGACCTGGGAGCTTGAAGCAGGAAGATCATAAGTTTGAGTCCAGCTGGCAATTTAGAGCAATTTAGTGCCTAGTGAGACATTGTCTCAAAAATAATAAAACCAGAGGCTGGGGATTTAGCTCAGCAGCATAAGTGCCTGCCTTGCAAGCAGGCAGTTGTGAGTTCGATCCCTGGTACCGATAAAAACGAAAAAGACAAATAATATTAATAATAATAATAAAACCAAATAAAGCTGAAGACATGAGTGAAGGCCCTAGGTTCAATCTCTAGTACTGGGGAAAAAAAAAAAGAAAAAAAAGGACCCATACCAAACTGCAGGGAAATCCATCCTCAAGTCTAGGTACATTATTTGTTTATTTATTTTTGGTACCAGGGATCAAACTCATGACCTTGCGCTTGCCAGGCAGGCGCTATTACCACTGAGCTAAATCGCCGGCCCTAGGTATGTTATTTTTGACCCAGGGCTTTTCATATGTCAGATGGAGACAACAGTGCCTGTGTTTTCTCCTCCCATGTTTGTTGTGGGTTTATATAAGTGAGGAAGACTTCAGAAAAGAAACCTCTTCCCCCTTAAGCTTCCTGCTCAGTGCCTTGACTCATCTCTAAAAACCAGAGGCATTGGGGCTGGGTATTTAGCTCAGCAGCGTAAGTTCCTGCCTTGCAAGTGTGTGGTCATGAGTTCAATCCCTGGTACTGATAAAAAAAGAAAAAGACAAAAAAAACAAAAAACCAGAGGCGTTGAAGGATTACCTTCGGCTAGTGATACTATTAAAGTGAATAAGCTATACTCCTTGGCAGAAAGGATCAGACGACTGACGTTGATAGAATTGTGGCGCGGCTGAAAAGATAAGAAGTATGAAATATAAATGACCTTTATTTTAAGAATTCAGGGAGAGATCTCCCCGACCCCCTGGGGTCCAGCATCTCCCCAAGGTTGGCAATCTCTCCGTTGGACACGTGGAGTGGGGGCATACATGTAGCTTAGGTTTGGGGTGGAGCCTGAAGGGGGCATTAGGGGTGCACAGGTATCTCATTGGTATTCATTTTGCTCCAGACGCAAATTCCTAGGGGTGGGGAAGATGGAGCTCCTTGGTTCTGCCTGAGGCTTTACTGGCTACAGTGTCCTGTCTGGGCCAAAATCCTTTCAGACATGGAAGCATCTCTGAAGCATTCTGCCAAATGAGCGAAGCCAAAACTGCAAAGATTACATTTTATAGGGTTCAGTTTCTATAACGTCTTAGGAAAAGCAAAGCCATGGGGCAAAAAAGTGGATCTGTAGTTGCAGGGGCACTGGAGAAATTCTGATGGTGGTTAATAGGACTGTTCTCTGTGTGTGTATGTGTGTGCACGCACGCGTATGCATGCACACACACATCCACGCAGATACTGCCAGGATGGGATCCAGGCCTTGCACATACTGGGCAAGCGCTCTTACTGCTGAGATGTACCCTAGATGGCAGCTTGATTATGTTAGTGATTGCACACTTGGTCAACACTTGCAGACTGTGTACTAAAGTTAATTTTACTGTATGTGAATTATATCCCAATTGCAAAGAAACTCTGCTTGGGCTTTCAGGTTGATCCCTTGGCAGCTTGGAAACTGTGTCTTGGGTTTGGAAACCCAGGACACAGGAATAAGAGGTTCCTTGGAGAAGGAGAGGGGTTATTGGGAGCTGGCCAGTCTCCTGATCTCCTGGGCAAGTGTATAGCAAAGGAAAGTGATGTGGTACTCGGGAGTCAGGAAATGTAGGAGCACTGTGGCTGAGACCCTGACTGCTCCAACTCGGCCACTGTTCATTGTGCATCATGGCAGGGGGCACGGGAAAAGCAGGGAACAGTGGGCAAAGGTGATGGTGAGCACGTAGTAAATCTTTGCCTGATGAGCAAGCTGTTTTATCTCTAAGCTTGGCAGTTGTTGCCTTGGACTCAGAGTGAGATTTAGTGTCCTCAGCTACAGTATAATTTTTGCCTTCAGAGACTTCACAGGTCACAGCCACTAGAGGCTCAACCGTGACCTTTAGGACAGAAAGTTCTGTTTCTGCATACCAGCCACTGGCTCATCACACCAGTCACTTAGACCTGGAACAGACTATATGTTAACATAGAAAGCCAACTGATTAATTCCAGAGCCTGCTCAGCACCACCTCAAAGTGATCTCCATCAAAGGAAACCTCTCAGCTGAGACTGGGGAAATCTCTGTCTTCCTAGGGAGTTTGTCAGGGAGAAAAAGTACCGGACAGAGGCCGAGCTATTTGGGTGGAGCTTCGTCTTTGAGGACTTGGTCTCCAGCGAACTAAGAAACTCAGCATCCCAGCAGATGAAGGTGAGGAGCCAACAGCTGAGGGGATGGGAGTGGGGCGGGGTTACCCAGGCCACTGTGCAGGGGCAGACCTACCGGCAAGCTGCAGGCACCCAAGGGAGGGAGCCCTGGGCTTGTTCCTGGTTAGAGAGACAGATAAAAGTCCAAAGGAATTCGTGTTTCAGATCCTGCACTGCTTGCACTCCGAGAGAATATCTGGGCCTCTAACGGGGTGGTCAAATGCCCCACAAAGACCCCAGCCCCAGGACCCATCAGGGCCAGGGCACCCCACACCCACCTAACTCCTTCCTACAGCCTGTCCTCTGGTGGCTTCCAGTGGAAAGGGCATTTTGGAGGCAGGTGAGTACTGGCTCCTTACCCCATGGTCCACACCTGACTCTGACTCTGAGGACTCCCCCAGGTCCCTTGCCCATCTAGGGATACCCAGCTGTAAGGGGTGACCTGGGGCTCCCAGGGGACTGCCCAGCAGTCCCTTCCTCTCTCCACTTCCCGTGAGACCCTGTGACCCCTTTGCTGGCCCTGTCAGTGCCTCTCTACTCCACCCTGGCTCTCATACTGGCCGCAGAGCTCAGGCCCTGGGCGGCCACAGCCAGCTTTCTGTCCCTTTCTCCACTATCAGCCCTCAGGTCCCGGCTCCGGCATCCGGGACCGGCTGGAGCTGCCGGTGCTGCACGTGAGCTGGAACGACGCACAGGCCTACTGTGCATGGCGTGGCCGCCGGCTGCCCACTGAGGAGGAGTGGGAGTTTGCTGCCCGGGGTGGCTTGAAGGGTATGGATGCCCACTGGCCCAGGAACTCTGGAGGGTGGGAAGGGGCCATTCCTTAGCGCCTCGAGGCCCAAAACCGTCCATACCAATGAGGGATCAGTGGTGGTGGCACTGATGTTCCAGGACATCCGTCCAATCCCATAAAAAGGAGAAACTGTAAGAGTGTAAAGAAAAATAGAATATATATATATATATATATATATATATATATGTACACGTGTACACATGTGTATATATATGTGTATATGTATATGTATATCTTGCCTTTCTTGCCAGGCAAGTGCTTATGCCACTGAGCTAAATCCCCAACACCCCAGACATAATATTTTACTGTTGGTGAGATTCCACAGTATAAATTACATTGCAATAAATGTAATTAAGCAAGGTTATAGCGGTGCATGCCCGAAATCTCAGCTTTTGGGAGGCTGAGGCAGGAGGATGAAGAGTTTGAGTCCTGTCTGGACAATTTACAGAAACCTTATCTCAAAGTAAAAATTAAAAAGGGCTGGGGATGTACTTCACTGCCAGGCCCTAGATGTGAACCCCAGCATTGCAATCAATCAATAATAGAACAATTTAAGCCAGGTGTGGTAACGCATGCCTGTAATCCCAGCACTCAGGAGGCTGAAACAGGAGGATCATTAGGAGTTCAAGACCAGCCTGGGCTACAAAGTGAGCTCAAGGCCAGTCTGAACCACATTTTAAAAAAGATGAAAACAATAATAGTATACCTTAGCAAATCAGGAGATCAAGGTCAAGGGTTCCCAACGCAGTGCCTGAGTGAGGGATTAGGTTTGGTAAATAAGGACCCTAGTCTTCCTTTCTTGTCCTTCTGGTTCCCTTGCTCCTTTTTTCCTTCCCTAATTCTTTCTGTCTTTCTCTTGACTCTTGCTCTCCCAGCAGGTCAGGTTTACCCATGGGGAAATAGGTTCCAGCCCAACCGCACCAACCTGTGGCAGGTAAGCAACCCTGCTTCCTGGTGTGGGCGGGGCCTGGCCTCAGTGCAGGAGGCCAGGTGCTGTGTGCAGAGCAGTTGCCCAGCTGCTGACTGATGAACTGCCTGGGCAGAAAGCAGCATCTGAGGGCACTGGTAACTGGGGATTGAGCTCAGCGGCATAAGCGCCTGCCTTGCAAGCAGGCAGTCGTGTGTTCAATCCCCGGTACCAATAAAAAGGAAAAAGACAAAAAAACAAAAACAAAACAGACGCTTGTCTCACGTGCCATGAAATAAAGAACATTCTGGTCAGGCACGGTGGCACACACCTGTAATCTTAGAACACTAGGAAGCTGAGGCAGGAGGATCACAAATTCAGGCCTAACCCAGGCCTCTTAGCAAGTCAGCAAGACCCTGTGTCAAAATGAACAAAAAAAAGTGAGAAGAGCTAGGATGTCACTCAATGCAAAGCCCTCCATTCAGTCCTCATTACCAAAGGTGGGGGGGAAGGCCCCCAGTGTCAGAAATGAGCACAGTGCCCAGCGTTGTATTGTGTTGTGCCAACCAAGGTGTTTTGCTTTTTTTGTTGAGGTTCTATGGTGGGAACCCAAGCCTTGTGCTTGCTGGACAAACACCACACCCCTCAGCTACATTCCCAGCCCCTGCAGAGGTTGTACAACTAGAGTGACGACATGTTTGTGGCTGATTTCTGCAGGACAGATGAAGTCAAACTGCGGTACTGACAGGAAGTCTTTGAATTTTAGGCGGTGACAGAGACCCAGCCTCTGGACTGGTTTTTTTTGGTACCAGGGATTGAACTCATGACCTTGCGCTTGCCAGGCATGTGCTTACACCACTGAGCCAAATCCCTGTCTGGACTTTTAAGTGAAAATGGAAATCAAAAGGGAGGCACCCTGTTGGTCACAGTGCACACACTTGAAATTCCAGCACTCAGGAGGCAGAGAGAGATTGTGAGTTTGAGGCCGCATGGACTACATGGTGAATCCCAGTCTCAAAAAAAAAACCCAGGGTGGTGGTGAAGAAAGCCAAAGAGAAGCTGACCTAAGACGGGATGATGCATAGTCATTCATCAAATGTGGAAGGGCTGGATTCAAGCACGGACTCAGGCTTGGCTGCACAGTGATGGTGTTCCCCTTACCCACGTGATGTGATCTGCACATGGTGGTCCAAGGGACAGAACTGGGTATTTTAGAGTCCTCTCAATTTAGGGTGTGGAACATGGTTGTGCTCAAGAGGGCTGGGGCAGAGCACAGCAGCAGAGGGCTTGTCCAGCTCACATGAAGCTCCAGGCTGGACCCCTAGCACCACTGAAAAATAGAACATCAAAAATCCGAATCTGAAACTCAGAGCAGAGCTCCAGGTAGGAGCAGGTGGCTTGAGAGCATATTTATCTGTTCTCTGTTGCTGTAACAAAATACTGGATGCTGAGTAAATTAAGAAAACAGGTTTACTCAGCTCACAGTTTTACAGTCTAAAAGCCCTGTATCGTGCAGCCCCATGAGTTTGGCCCCTCTGGCAAACCTCGAGTCACCCTCATCCCCATCCCCATCACAATAAGAAGTGGAAGGGGCCAAACATGCAGGGCAACATTGCTTTGTAACAACTCACTGTCACAGGAACTTAAGTCCAAAAAACCAACAGTAATCTGCTCCCAAGGTGATGGCCCAGTGATCTAATTACCTCCCTTTAAGGTCCCACCTGCTTTTCTTTTTCTTTTTGAAGCGAATTCTCACTATATATGTTCAAGCTGACTTTGAACTCATGGCAATCCTCCTGCCTCTGACTCCTGAGTACTGGCATTACAGGTGTGCATTCAAGGGCGATGTTTTGTTTTGTTTTGAGGCAGTGTCTTGCTAAGTAGTTCAGGCTGGCCTTGAACTTACTATGTAGCCCATGCTGGCCTTGAACTTACTATGTAGCCCATGTTGGCCTTGAACTCATGGTGATCCTCCTACCTCAGCCTCTGAAATGCTGGGATTACAGGCGGCAAGCACCACCACACCTGGCTTGGTGCTCAGTTTTAATGCAAAGAAAATGGACAAGTTGAACAAATGAAATCAGCAAATGTAGGTCACATTGTAAGGAATTTTGCTGGTGAAGAGCAGGCGGGTTGGAAGGTTGAGTCAGGGCAGATGAAAAGGGGTTACCAGTGTTGGTGGCAGAAGGGAGAGACAGAGAGAGACAGCCTGGGATGTCAGTGATCCCAGGAAGACCAGGGAGTGGCTCTGATGACCAGAGAAGTAGGGATGCTTTTTTTTTTTTGGGGGGGGGGGATGCTTCTTTTGTCACAGGGCCATGGCCTCAGGCTGCAAACAGGAGGGGAGGAAGTTGCCAAGGGTGGTGAACCAGGCACAGGGCAAGCATGACAGACTACAGTGGGCCCCATGGAAACCTGTGGCCTTCAAAGTCCAGCCAGAGATCCTGGTAGGAGGTGGCAGGTGCTTGGACAGGAACCGAAAGGTCCCACCTGTGCCCTACCCTGCCTGGTGACACAGCAGGGCAGGTGAGCTAGAATCTGGGTAGCGAGATCCTGCCCTGAGACAGACTGATTGTCCTTCAGTGGTCATTTCTGCCATCAGGGAAAGTTCCCCAAGGGTGACAGAGCTGAGGACGGCTTCCACGGAGTGTCCCCAGTGAATGCCTTTCCCCCACAGAACGACTACGGTAAGGCTTCCTGCAGGTTGCTCAGTGGGACACATCGCCCTGCCCGGTGGGGGAGGCAGAGTAAAGGATCCCCTGGCTGCCCCCACTTTCCCACAGGGCTCTATGACCTCATGGGCAACGTGTGGGAGTGGACGGCGTCATCCTACCAGCCCGCTGAGCAGGACATGCGTGTCCTCCGGGGCGCATCCTGGATCGACACAGCTGATGGCTCTGCCAATCACCGGGCTCGGGTCACCACCAGGTGAGGGACTTGACCCAAGGGACCCCCACTCAGGAGCATGGTGGGTGCTGCTGCTGTACCCCATTTCCATCGAGAGTGGTAGGCAGGGGACAGAGTGAGTAGCATGGCCACAGAAAGCAAGAGGGACCAAGACAGCGGGGGACCTTGTCCCACTGGCTCTCACACCTGGGGAGATGTCAGGGTCCACACTTGTCCTCACAGTCAGTGGACGAGGGGAAGTGGTGTGGCTGCAGTAGTGGGTCACTGCCAGTAGTCCTGGAATCACTGACTCTTCAGACGGGCTCACAGAACATGTTCCATAGTCACTGTTTTATGATGAAAAGCAAAAGGTTCGGGGGCTCCTGGCTAGGGGCCATGCCTGCGGGGTGGTGTCCCGAATCCCTGCCTGTCAGGGGCTCTGCTTCACCCCGGTGGACCCCACCAGCTGCTGGCTTCTCCCATCCTGGGTTCTTGAAGAACTTTCTATTTCTGGACAAAGAGTGCAGAAAGTCGCCACCTGCGAGCTAGGGTTTGTCTCTGTTTTTGGGGTGCAGTAGGGAGATGACCTCAGGCAGGACACTTCCACCTACCTGGGGCCTGATTCTTCCTGAGCAGTCCGGAGGTGAGGTAGCATCAGGGAGCACCTGTGCCATTCTTTAGCAGAGGCACAACTGTCCTACCTGGGCTCCAGGCGTCTGGGCTGACCTGGCACCTTCACCTACCCTGCTGGGTCCTGCTCTCCTCCCCTGACATGGCACTGCTCAGAACCCCTCCTGCGAGGCCAGCATGACGGGGGCTCCCCCACCTCAGGCACCCAGACCTCTGGGCCCAGTCAGGGTGCAACTAGGAGGCCTGGAAAGGCCAAGCCCCTTGCTTGTTCAACAAACATCCATTCTTTCTCCCCTTCCATTGGCAGGATGGGAAATACTCCTGATTCAGCCTCAGACAACCTGGGCTTCCGCTGTGCGGCCAGTGTGGGCCGGGCCTTTGGAGAGCTGTGAGCTGAGTGTGCAGAGACCTGCTGCTCCCTGTCACTCCCTGGATATTTCAAGTGCACCCACATCCTTCATTCCCTTGCCACCTCCCGCCAGGCTGCAGGGAACCCTGCTCAGGGCGGGTGCCATGTGGAGAGCAGGCCTGCAGGGCCCTGGGGCTGGGGGCTCCCCTTAAAGGTCAAGTGCTGATGACAGTGGGAAGGGATCCTTGACACCAGTAGTCTGCTTTGGAGGCCGATGGCCAGTGATGTTTAAATCTGTTCCATTCCCTTTCTCCCTGGCTGATTCAGAGATCTGACATTGTTTCCTTGAGGCAAGTTCTCTTCAGGCAGCTCTAGTTCCTCAACAAATTCTTTTTTCTCTTTTTGGGGGGTAGGGGCTGGGGGATGTTGACACAGGTCTCAGGCTGGCCTCAAACTCTGACCTCAGCCTCCTGAGCGCTGGGACTATAGGCCTGCCAGTGCCACACCAGCTTCCTAGCAAATTCTTGTAGAAAGAAGATGCACCCCGTGTTTGCTGGTCAGCAGCTCCCCTGTTACTGTCAGGAACCAGTTTCAGCCTCTGGGGGTCTGGGAGAACGCAGTAAAAAGTACTGAAGAAACACCAGGCTTCCCCTGGCCCTTCATGGTGCTGGGCTCTGGCCTCTATGACCGAGTCTGGGACAACAGGTGGCCGAAGTCTCCTGTGGCTTCGTGGCTGGCATCTCCTGGTCTCTGTCCCCAGCAGGACCTGGGGCAGAGGCCCCTGGTGACAGACCGAGGGCCGCAGCCCACATAATGGGGAGGAGATTCCAGGCCCTCCGCCTCCCGCCAGCCCTGCCCCTCAGAAGTCCTCCTCCTCCGCCAGGGACAGCAGCACCGCCTTGGGGGTGTTCTCAAACAGCGCGGCGCGGTTCTGCTGCTGCCCCTTCTTCACCCAGTGCCCGTACATGCGGAAGGCGTAGGCATCGATGAGGCGGCGCAGGGGCCGCAGCGCGTAGGGGTCTCGAATGACAATCTCCCGGGTCACCGGCTTCACGCGCCGGTACTGGTAGTAGATCCGCACGGAGGCCAGCACCGTCAGCGCGATGACCTGCGGGGCCGGGACAGCACCCCAGCTGGCCTTCTGCGCCCCAGCCTGTTCCGGGGCGCGGGCAGCTTTGGGGGCTATTGGCCAGGTGCTCCCCATCCCGACCTACGGGGACCTACAGGCGTCCAGAGGGAGCCAGAGGGCGGGCCCTGCCTTCCCTGCAGCCCGACCCGGGACCTATCCGGTGGGCAGCCAGGGCGAAGAGAGGGGGCCTCACAGCCTGGGGTATAGGGCCCCGGTGCACCTGGGGCCTCGCACCTTGAACTTCCCGGCAGGGCTGAAGTGCCGCACCTCCTCCACCACGTACTGCTGGAAGAAGGGGTGCGCCAGGGCCTCTTCTGCTGTGCAGCGGTTCTCGGGGCGCACCACCAAGAAGCGAGAGACCTGGAGGGTGGGGGGTGCCGAGGATACAGGGCAGGATAGCTAGCCTTTGGGAGTGGTGACGGGGTCCCCGCCCTGCAGCCGCCCCGCAGCCAGGCTGTCCCAGGCCTCACCAGGTCCTTCACAGTGTCCGAGTAATCGTCCCACTCCGGGGAGCCGAACTGGTAGCTTCCGCTCATGATCATCCTCAGCATGAGCATCTGCTTCCGGTGCCAGAAGGGTGGGGAGCCAGCCAGCAGCGTGTACATGATCACCCCGGTGCTCCACCTGAGGGGACACAGCCTGCTCACACCTGAGCGCCAGAGACAGTGCCAGGGCCACCTCCCCACACTCACATGTCCACCTCCTTCCCGTAGCCCGGGTGGTCGTCGTTCATGGAGCACTCGATGATTTCCGGGGCCAGGTAGCTGGGGGTCCCGCACACCTCTGCAGAAGAGACACTGTCAGGACTCGGCAGGGGTACCAGGATGGCCCGGAAATGGGGTCGGGGTTACACAGGCTCCTGGGGCCATGTTTAACTGGCCTGGCAAGGCTGACAGGAAAGAGGACTTAGCTAAGACCCTCAGGATTGGAGGGTGCTGCTCATTCTGAGGGGAAAAGGTGGAACCCTGGCAATGTGTGTTCCTGGGGGTACCAATGTGGGAGCCCCAGCCAGGGTACCGCACCTCGCAACCTCTCCCCCGGCTCCAGCTGACAGGAGAAGCCAAAGTCGGTGAGCTTGATGTTCATGTTGTCGTCCAGGAGAATGTTCTCGGGCTTCAGATCCCGGTGCACGATGTTGAGCTTGTGCAGGCCGCTGATCACCTCCAGCAGGGCCCGCATGATTTTCCTGAGGACGGCACACAAACTCACTTTTAGGGGAGAATAGGATGGGGGTACTGGGGACCCTTGCACATGCTGAGTGAGCACTCTGTCACCACCTAGCTACTCCCCACCCCACTTGGCTTTGCTCTTGTTCCAGAATCAGGTGATACTTCCTCTCCTTCTCAAGGTGAGTACCCTGCCACAGTCACTTCTGCCCCACAGGGTCGGGGCAGGCAGGGAGCTGGACCCACACCAGACACGATGGAGTGCGGGAGGGAGGCATCAAAGGCGCTGTGTACCCCCAACCCCCACCTCAGCCCTGGGTCTGGGGGACAAGACAAGGGGTGAATGGAAGCTACCTGGTTTCCTTCTCGCTCAAGGTGACCTTTTCGGTGAGATAGTCAAAGAGCTCGCCTCTCTTCATCCTGTGGGAGCCGAGGGTAGGACACTGGCTGTGTCCCAAGCCTGCCCTCTATTGACCCTGGCCCCAGGGAGCCGCCTCCCTGATGTCCTGCAGGCCAGGGTAGCTGTGCCCTGGGGTGAAAGAAGTCATCAGGAAGGCTTGGAAGAGCAGTGTGGCAGGCAGGAGGTGGGGTGAGGACAGCGCAGGGTCCCCATCTGCAAGCGATATCGCGATATCGCGGGCTGGGATCCTTCAGGGCCTAAATCAGAGCTAGTGTTGCAGGAGGGTTGCCAAGCCACTGGTGCAGGGCTCCAAGGCCCTTGACTCTTGCATTTTCCAGGGGAACAGTGGAAGGGATCGGCAGGTATTAAGGCTGGTTCAGTCTTCTCGCCTCAGAGGGTCTAGAAAGCTCTGTGGCACAGCGATCTGCCTACTGCCCTGGAGGGCTCCCGGGGCCATGGCACAAATAGCTTCCCCAGCAGCTCCTCAAAGGTTAAGGACATCTGAGCTGTCCCTGAACACTGCAGGATGACTGACAGCTGCGGACAGCTGTGAGGAGCACCTGGGTGGGGACCCAGGAAAGGCTCCTTCGGTTAAGTAGGCAAAGGTATATGCAGCCCCCAGCCCACCACCCCTGCGGGAAGAGCAGGGAGGTCTGCGGGCAAATGGGGAATCAATGGAGGTCAGGTTCCTGAGCCTTGTTTATACAATGGAGGAGTAATACTTTTGTTTTTTTGAAACAGGGTCTCACTATGCAGTTCAGGCTGGCTTTGAAGTCACTTTACATGTAGCCCAGGCTGGCCTTGAACAAACAGCAACCCTCTTGCCTCAGCCTCCCAAGTGCTGGGATTATAAGCACATGCCACTACACCTGATTAGACGTACAATATTTTTTAAAAGTGATGTGTGAGTCTAGTTTTTTTGGGGGAAAAATTCTCCCTATGCAGTCCAGGCTGACCTTAAATGCACTGAGTATCCCAGGCTGGCCTTGAACTCATGGTGCTTCTTCAGCCTCAGCCTCCCCAGGGTCAGGATTGCAAGAGTGTGCCATCACACCAGTCATGTGACTCCAGTGTTTCTTTTTCTTTCTTTCTTTTTTTCTTCAGTGCTAGGAATGGAGCCCAGGGCCTGGAGTATGCTAGCAAGTCCTCTACCACTGGCCTATGTCCAAAAACCTATTCCTGTTATTTTACTCCATTTGAAATTTTTCGATACTAGGAGGAGCTGGGGATTTAGCTTAGCAGCATAAGCACCTGCCTTGCAAGTGTGTGGTCATGAATTCGATCCCCGGTACCGATTGAAAAAAAAAAAAAAAAAAGATCCTAGGAGAACTCACTATTAGCATCAGCAATAACCTGAGGTTTACCAGTAGAGATGGGGACCAAGCCAGGGACAGCAGTGTGCTCCTGCCTTCCAGGAGCTAACAGTTCTGCCCTCTACTAACCCTGGCCCCAAGGAGCTGCCTCCCTGTACCCTGATGTCCTGCAGGCCAGGGCAGCTGTGCCTTGGGGTGAAAGAAGTGACAGGCTAAATTGTATCTTGGAGCCAGGCAAGGTGATACAAACCTGTAATCCCAGCTTCCTGGAAGGCAAACTTGGGGGATTACAAATTTGAAGTCAGTCTGGGCAACTGATCTGGATTGTGTCTCAAAGTAAGAAAATAAAAAAGGGCTAGGGATACTACCCTGAGTATAATCCCAATACCACCAAAAACAAAATGAAATTGTATCTCATGCTGTGCAAACCCGGTCTAGCTACCTGAATGATTTTCTCATGTAGATCCACCTATTAACTGATGCATAAGGAAAAATCAGTACAGCAGTGAGAAGCAGTGACGAGTTCCCTCCCCTTGGGAAGTGTTTCTAATAGCCCGGCATGGTGGTGGTACACACCTGTAATCCCAGCACTCAGAAGGCTGAGGCAGGAAGATTGCTGTGAGTTCAAGGCCAGTTTGGGCTATATAGTGAGTTCAAGAACTATGTAAGACTCTGTCTCGAACCAAAACAGGAGAAAGGAAACTTAAATGACCCAGCCCCAAAATGATAAACCCTGCCCGCCAGGGGCGTCAGCAGTGAGGTCAGGCGCTGCATCCACAAGCCCATGTGCAAGAAGTACTCCGTGAAGATCACTGACGTCACCGGCGGGGGCAGGTTTCCAATCCTGGTGGCTTGTGCCAAGGACTGACATGCTTCGCCCATCCCAGTCCTAGCAAGAACTATGCCCCTGGCCGGTCCAGTAAGGTGGGGGTGGGGGTGGGGGATGGGACACAACGACCCGGGACACGGGATTGATCTCCAGACTGTGTCCCGGGCCATGACTGACACCAGGGCTGGGTACTTACAGGTCGAACACCAGGAAGAAGAAAGTGTTGGTTTCATAAGTATCCTTCAGCTGTACTGAAACGGAAATGGCTGGCTCGTCTCCTGTGGCCAGGGCTAGCAGGACCAGCAGGTACCCAGGATGTGGGGTGAGGGCTCTGAGCTGCTGTGGGCTGTGGGGGGACAGGATGGTGCCCCGGGGCATCCACGGGGTCTGGGCACAGGTGGGGACTTCGCACTCAGGTCCCAGCCCCGCCTGCCACTCGGGGTGCAGGACTTTGAGGAGCTCTCGGCTGCATCCCGCCACCCCATGCCTGATCCCAGCCGAACGGGACCGCCACTCACTGACGTTGGGCTGTCCGGAGACCTTGCGCAGGATGTCCACCTCCTTCAGCGTGGCCTCCCGCAGCTCTTGCGCCTCCTCGGCGCTGAAGCTGCCCCCGCCGGTGACGTCAATGATCTTCACAGCATACTCCTTGCACGTGGGCTTGTGGATGCAGCGCCTGACTACGCTGCTGACGCCCCTGGCGGGCAGGGACAGGGCCGGGTTGGGCGGCTGGGACGCCCTACCCTTACCTAGGCACGCCGGCTCCCTGCTAGCTTTGGAGACGCTGGGGTGAAGAGAAGCCCAGAGGGCTCATCTGCCTGGAGCTGAGGCCTCACAGGCCTGGTGCCCGGGCAAGGTCCCCTCCTCCCCGTCTCTATCTGTCTCTCTCTGGCTCTGGCTCACTCTCTCTTCTCTGTGATAGTAGGGATCAGACCCTGGGGATGCTCTAACTCTGAACTGTATTTCTAACCCCTTTTTATTTTTTATTTTGAGGCAGCATCTTGCTAAGTTGTCCAGGTGAGACTTGAACTTATGATCCTCTTGCCTCAGCTTCCCAAAGTGCTGGGCTCACACCAGTGTCTGCCACTGTGTCCAGCTCTGGCCTCAGGCCTCTTGATTCCTTCCCAGCACAGAGAACCGGAACCTTCCTCGGGCCATAACGTTCCTGCTGATCACCCAGCTAGGCTGGTCGTGAGAGATGTGCCTGTCCCTCCCCACCCTGGTTCAGGAGGGATCCTCAGAAGGCAAGTCAAGCAGAGGGTGGGCCTGTGCCAGCCCAGATTGGCTTCTTACCTGCCCAGGATCTCCTTGGGCTCATAGTTTTCATAGAAGCCCTGAGTGGAGTGAGAATCTGGCAGGGACTCATCCCGGGTCATGCTTGGTTCCTGGGGCAGAGACTCCGAGGGTCTCTTCGAGGGAGCAAAAGGAAGTGGTCAGCCCTCCAACCCCATTGCAAGAGAATCTAGCTGTGTATGTAGTTCAGGCTGGCCTCGGACTCCCCGTGATCCTCCTGCCTCAGCCTCCTATGTGCTGAAATTACAGGTGTGCACCACCATGCCTGGTTCTCTTGCCTTTTTTATCTCCTGACACAACTCCTGACACTGTTCTACAGTGAACATTTGAAAGACATGTTTGTGAACTTAAAAATTTACATGCATTCTGTCTTGGAGCCCCTTCTGGTCCCAGCGATGACCACTTCCCTTCTGTGGGTTTGCCTCACCCTATGTCTCAGGCCTACTTCTCAGCACTGACCTCACAGGACACTGTGGTTCTTTACTGCCTCATGTTGGGGCAGCACCTGGTCAGCTGGCCTAGAGCAGGGTGTGACCCCAAGATGAGCTTGACACTGGCACATCCTTGCTTTGAGACCCACAGAGAAACTGCAGGTAGTAAGGGTTTTTGTTTGTTTTCTTCTGGTGTTGGGGATTGGACCTAGGCTTCCACACTGAGCTCCAACCAGGGTGGGGAGGGACAGTACTTTTTTGTCTGGAGATGCAGCTCAGGCTGGACCTGAATTTGTGACTGTCTTGCCTCAGCCTCCAGAGTGCTGGGATTGCAGAGGACAAGTTAGAGTGTAGTTTCCTCTGTGCTGCCTGCTGCCTGCCATCATATTGGGGTTCCTTCCCATGTCCCTCCATCTCCCCTGCTGTAACCGCCCCGCTTTGAGAACACTTCCTGCTGCGCTCTTAGCCCACCACTCCGCCTGTACCCCAGATGTCCCAAGTCCTCTTTCCTGCATCCCACAGATGCTGAATTCCAGCTCTTTCCCAGCCTCAGCACCAGGTGTGTGGGGTGCAGTGTTGGGTGAGTCTCATCCCAGTCTCCAGTGTCACTGGGCAGTGCTGTGGTCCCCTCCCAAAACCAGGGTCCTCACAAGGACGTCTCGGCCATTTTCACCCTCAGTATCCAGGTGGGGGGCACAGGCACTGGACCCTAGGTGAGATGACACATGGGCAGGCGCCTCTGTCCTACATGACCATGACCCCTGGGGGGGTCCTGGGTCAGGCAGGTAGGCAGGACAGAAAGGGCAGAGCTGGCCCGGCTGTATCAGGAGCTCAGAGGTGCCTGTGGAGACCTCATGGGAACTGAGGGCCGCGAAGTTCTCTGCTAAGAGGCCAAGAGGCAGGGAGCAGAGAGAAAACCAGCACCACTTTGGCCCCCTACTTCCGCCCCCACTGGGCACAGGAGGCTGGGCTCTCAGGAGCCAGTTTGCTGACAGCCAAACAGTCCTGGCAGCCAAGGGACTGGGGCTGGCTGTGCAGGAGGCCTGGTGCCCCGCTCCCCGGTGCCTGGTTACCGGGGGAAGGCTTAGAATAACAACGGGCGCCTGTGCCAGGCTGCACACAGGGCTCCTCTGCCTGCCATCAGCGAGCCGTTTTCTAAGTTCCAGGCTGGGGATCTGTGCGCATCACATCCCCAAACAGCAGTACAGAAGCCTCTGGCAGGGATGCCACCCTGTGATGGGAACGTAACAACACTCCCCGAAACCTAGTCAGGAAACAGCCGTGGGCACTGGCTTTCTTAAGAAAATGCCTCCAGGCAGGTGTCTTGAGTGAAGCCAGGCGTGGTAGCATGTCTGTAATCCTGGAACTCAGGAGACTGGGGCAGGAGGATCACCTAGAGTTTGAGGCCAGCCTGGGCTACACAGAGTTCAAAGCCAAGCTGAACTGCACAGTAAGACCGTCTCAAAAAGCAAGTTCATGTGGACCCTCTCCCAGGTGCATCTGCCTCCAGAATAGAAATGGGTCTACCCCTGCTCTCCTGCTTCCCGCCGCTGCATGGTCACTCACCGTTAAGTCGTTGCAGGGCCTCAGGTGACTGTGACAAGACTCCCAAAAGCCCTGAAGCTCCTGGGGAAGCAAGACACAGGTTGCTGAGGCTGTGTCCCCAAGCAGACTCTGGCGTTGCAGTAAGAGGATCCTGCCACGCTGCTTTTGGCTTTGCTATTTGATGACGGAGGCTGATGGGCCAAAAATAAATCCCAACTGCAAAGCTGGGGTGCTGCCAAGGCTCGGCAGGGAGGGGGCCCAGGCCTTCAGTTTCCCCAGCAGTGGCCCAGGACCAGGGACAGGATAGGGCGCCATCACTCCCCTCTGGAGCATACCTGCCCTCCAGGCCTGGAAGAGGGTGGGCTGCTTCGTAGGAAACATTCATCACAGCACTTAGCTGTCACAGGGACCTGTCAGGACTCCCCAAGTATAGTGAGCCCTTGCCTGTCATTGTCACGCTCCAGGAACATTTATAATTGTAATCCCAAGAAGTTACTGAATTCTAGCGAATTAATTCTAATCTACCACTTCTAGTGCAATCCACAGCGAGAAGACATTAAGATATATAGTTGTGGGGAGCTGGGGCGGGGGTCCTAAGTCCAGCCAAGATGGTGTCCACCAGAACAAAGGCCTTGCCCCAAGGCCCAACCCGGCTTTATTAATTCTCTGTGACAGGAGTGGTTTGGGGATGAGTGACCAGAGTGGTAGGCAATGTGACTGCAGTGAATTGAGCTGGGCAGGAGGCCTGAGATTACCTGTGTGATAAGCAGAGGGCAAGAAATGCAGAGTGGGATGGGGATTTAGCTTACTGGCATAAATGCCTGCCTGGCAAGTGTGAGGTCTGAGTTTGATTCCTGGTACCACCAAAAAGACTTTTAAAAAAAACAAATGCAGATAACAGTCTGTAACACTGACTGAGGTAGTAGCTAATAATTTGAGGCTGGTGTTTCAGCTCTGATGCACAACCCCATTTGCCCTGTGACTGGCTTGGTCCCAGCAGACAGCCTGGCTCTCTGTCCAGCCCAACTCAACTATGCATGTATTTGGGAAGTCACCAGGTAGGGTAACACTGGCTTGTCTCTGTTTCAGGGGTTGCACATCAGCTCCTCAGCCAGCTCAATGTTTACTTATTTTTTTGGCACCAGGGAATTGAACTCACCACCTCGAATTTGCCAGGCAGGTGCTTATGCTTATGTTACTGAGCTAAATCCCCGGCCCCAAGCCAGCCCAGTTTACAATGGCAAAAGCCAACTGAAGGGACAAAGCAATCACCTTGTCAGCTGTGTAGGTATCAATACATGGAGATAGGGCCAAATTTATCCAAAACAGAGATAGTCACTTTTTCAGGTGGTCTGGGTGGTCCCCCACACCCAAGGACCACACGCACAATTGCCTTACATCTTGCAAACATACATCTGTAATCCCAGCACTTCAAAAGGCTGAGGCAGGACTGCAGGTCAAGCCTCATCTAGACAATTGGGTGACTTGCCAGTAGTTAAGCCCAACACACAAACCATAAAACTTGACTGTATTAGTAATTAAAGAGAATATTTGTTCAAAGCTGGGCATGGTAGCACACACCTGAAATCCCAGCAGTGGGAAAGCTGAGGCAGGAGGATCACCTCCAACTCGAAGTTAGCCTGCGTGACAGTCTGAAAACAAAAAAAGCACAGCAAAACAAAAAACAAAACAGCACTGCTGGCTTGGACCGCAAGCAGGACTTATGTCCTAGAAGACTGAAATTTTGAGCCAAGATGCAGCTGGGTGCACTTGAAAAAAACTTGAGCCTCGAGTCTTGGTGGTGGAGCTCCTGGGGAGCACACATGGGGAAGGCTCATCCCAACACACAAGGAGTGTTGACAGGGTGCATCTTTCAAGAGGCCATGTCACCTACACAGGGGGAGCTTCTGTCTGAATTAGGGGAAGCTGTCATCAGGTGACCTGGGGTACACCTTCCTCTTCATCCTCATTGCTGAGCACTTTTTCCAAGCAGGGAGACCTCCTCTCCACATGAGGCCCACAGCCACCCCCTACCCCCAGGATTTCACACTTCCTGCCCCTGCTTGAATTCTAGAGGCCCTTGGCAGCTACAGTCTTTCAGAGGCAGCAAGCGGGTGCACTACCCACTGGAGGCCTCGGGGCTGTGATAGCCCTGGACAGCTGCAGATCTCACAGCAGGAATGAGCCAAGATGCACACAGGTGACTGTGTGCTCCTTTTCAGAAGTGTGCATCCAGTGTGTGACATACACCCCGTGACCGCCACCAAATATCACTTTATTCTAATTAACTAATATCACAACATCTGCTTAAGACGGGCACATGTGTCCCCAATCTAGCCCATCTGTATGGCTGGAACATCCTCTTCCAAGGCTTTCTGAAGCACTGAAGCAATAGGGTGGAACTGGATGGTTTCCTCTTCTAGTATTAACATTTCTGTGCTAAAGTAACCCAGTCAGGTCCATGTCCCAGTTCCTCCGGGTGACTTCCTGCTTAGAGGAGGCCTGTGAACACAAGAGGGCTGTCAGCACCAGCGGAGGGAGGTCAACAGGCACCCACTGACTTCTTTGGCCAACTTTGGACAGCTTCCAAGACTTCAAACCCCACCCCACCCCTGAATCCCAGAAGCACATGGGCGACCCTGGTACCAGCCAGACCCCCGAGTTCAGTGGGGCAGGGGATGGAAGTCACCTACCATTTGCAATCCTGCACTGCCGCAGCACCTCATTGAAACCTTCGCAGAGCTTCACGTCGGGCTGGTTCTGTGCACACTCCAGAAACTGCTTTATCTCAAATAAGCAAGGGCCACCAGTCTCCTGCTGCTTCAGAGGCTGCAGCTGGGATCCCTGAGGCTCCTAGAAAAGGAAACGGCTTACAGCTGAGCACAGAGCAGCATCCAGTCTTTGTGGTTAACAGGAAAAGTGAACCAGAATCTGCTGTGAATCAAAGACCCAAACCACAAACAAGGTGCACAGTTCCCCTGCATTTCAAGAAGCGTGGGGCCGGGTGGGCAGCAGCAGCATGCGCAAAGGCCTGGGCTCCATCACCACAAAAGTCAAACTAAGTAAGTGAAACAGAGCTGGGCTCAGCGATGGACACCTGAAATCCCAGCTACTTGGCAGGTTGTGGCAGTAAGATCACAAGTTCAAGCCCTGCTTGGGCAATTTAGTGAGACTCTGTCTAAAAACAAAAAACCCCAAACAACAACAAAACACTCAGTGAAGCTTCATGGGGGCAAAATGAGATTATAGGAAAAACAGATGGATGAGGTTCAAGTACACCAGAAATACACTGGAAGACACATTTGGGCTCCTTACAATAGAAAACTCAAACTGGGCATGGTGGTGCATGCCTGTAACCTCAGGATCACTGCAAGTTCAAGACCAGCATGGGCTACAAAACTGAGCTCAAGGCCAACCTGAACTGGTTGCAAGACTCTGTTTCATGGGGCTGGGGATTTAGCTCAGCGGCATAAGCACCTGCCTTGCAAGTGTGTGGTCGTGAGTTTGATCACGGGTACCGATAAAAAACAAAAAGGAAAAAAAAAAAAAAAAAAAAGAAAGAAAGAAACACACACACACAAGGCCCTGTCTCATAAAGACAAAATAATTAAATAAACCATGCTTTTTTTTTTCCTAGCCATGCAGTAGTGACACTCACAGAACTGCAAAGTAAGCCTTCACTCAGAAGTCTAGTAACCATCTCAAACTCAACATAGTTCAACCAAACTCCTGATCTTGCTCTCTCAATATACGACATCTGCAATGAAATCTCGGTGGAAACAACTTTTGGCTGAATGAAACAAAATACTGGAAGATTTTCTTTGTTTTGCTGTCTGGGGATAAAACCTAGGACTGAGCTACATCTCCAGTCCTTTTTTTTGTTTTTTTGTCTTTTTGAGACAGGGTCATACTATGCAGTTCAGGCTGGCCTTAGGTTCACTTTGTAGCTCAGGCTGGTCTCAAACTTACAAACCAGTCTGCCTCAGGCTCACAAGTGCTGGGATTACAGGAGTGAGCCACCACACACAGCTTTTTTTTTTTTGAGACAGAGTCTTGCTAAGTCACTAAAAGGCCTAGGCTGGGCTTGAACTCGTGACCCTCATCCTCCCAGAGCACCGGGATCATAGGCGTGCACTACCACACCCAGCTTGATAACCTATTTTCCACTGGCGTACATTATACAAGGACAGACCTCATGCATCAGGAATTTACAAACCACTAAGTTTTCCATCCTTACCTGGTAAGTGATGTCAGGCTTGGCGGGCTCACCGCTGCCTCCCCCACTGAAGCCTCCTGTGATTGCATGGCCCAGCGTGTGCCCCACGGCAGAGCCCACCGCCACGCCTGCGGCAGTGGTCGCCATTTGGGCCATAAGGCCCGGCTGTCGGGGTGCAGCAGCAGGTGAGCCCACTGCAGACGTTGGGGCCACCACTGGGGTCTGGGCGGCTGGGGCCGGCCTGGGCACAGGACGGGGAGCTGCTCGCATTTGAGGGGCCCGGCTGTGGAAGAAGAGGATGAACTATGACACTCCTATTCCGGCTCATTCTTAAAATTGTACACTTGAGTAAACTTCAGATTTTTCACATTATGCAAGATTTCACCAAAAATAATTCAGTGCATTTTATCTCTTCCCAGGAGGCTGAGGACTGCCAAGGTAAGGGAAACTTCACATGCTTTTTCAAAAGAGAAAATAAAGGGTGGTAGATGAATGATACAGCACCTTGGGTTCAATCCCAGAATCGCAAAAATAAAACCCTAGGGCCAGGCAGCCGTGGTTGTGCACTCCTGTAATCTCAGCACTCAAGAGGCTGAGGCAGGAGATCTTTGCAAGCTTTCGAGCAGCCTAGGCTACAAAGTGAGGCCAAGGCCAGCCTGAACTGCAAAAACTGTCTCAAAAACAAATTAACAGGGGCTGGAGATTTAACTCAGTGGCATAAGCACTTGCCTTGCAAGCAGGCAGTCGTGAGTTCGATCCCTGGTACCGATAAAAAGGAAAAAGGCCAAAAAAACCCCCCAAAACCTTAGGGTCTAGCGTGGTGAAATAGTAGCCCCAGTTACACAGGGGCCCAGAGAGAAATCACTTGAGAAAAGGAGCTTAGGGCCAGGCTGGGCACAACAGCAATCCTGTTACACAAACCCTAACTAGACAGGCATCTGGTGAAATAGTCCCACCCAATTCCTTCACTTGGCAAACTAGAAAATGAAGTTTTGTTTTGGGGTTTTTTTTTTGTCTTTTTGAGACAGGGTCTCTCTAATGCAGTTCAGGCTGGCCTTGAGCTCACTTTGTAGCCCAGGCTGGTCTCGAACTCTCAATGATCCTTCTGCCTCAGCCTCCCGAATGCTGGGATTACAGGCGTGAGCCACCACACCCGGCTGAAAATGAAGTTTAAAATGGCATGGTGGCAACATCCGTAATTCTAGCATTCAGGGAAGCTGAGGCAGGAAGATTGCAAATTTCAGCCCGGCTAGGGCAATTTCTGAGATGTTTCATAAATAACAAGCCCAGGGGATATATCGAAGTGGGAAAGCTCCAGGTTCAATGAACATTACGAAAACCAGCACCAGACCACCAAGGCCCCAAAACCCTGAAGCACCGTCAGTAAAACGGGATCTCTCTACACCATTCTTATTTTTAGGGGACAGGGTCTCGCCGTGTAGTTCAGGCTGGCCTTGAGCTGGCAGCGAACTTCCTTCTGAGTGCTGGGATAACAAGCATATGTCAAAAGGTTACACTTTTAACGTACTATTAAATAGCATGAGACCGTAGCTCTACAAAACGTCCTTCTCAGCTGGGCATGGCGGCGCACGCCAGTCGTCGCAGCGTTCTGGAAGCTAAGGCTGGAAAATCCTTGTGAGCTCAAGGTCGGTCCAGATTAGACTGACACCGTCTCAAAACAACAAAAAACGAAAACAAGCCGCGTGCCCCGTGTGTGGGCGAGGAAGCGCGCTCCGCGCACGAATTCCTCCCCCTAGGCCTGGCACCAGGTGAACACAACCTAAGTCACCGTGCGCGGCGCTTGGCCCTCCCGGTCTGCGTCCCCAGCCGGCAAATCCCAGACGCCGGGTTTCGACTCCTAATCCCAGCTCGGTCTCACCTGGCCGGAGAAGGCACGCGGGAAGTGCGGCTTCTGCTTCCACGAGGCATCCTCGATACACCACTGCGCGGCGTCTACAAACACCAAACTCTGCGAAGAATCTGGCAGCCTCTGAGGAGGTGAGAGGAAGTTGGGAGGCGGGTCTTAGTGTTCGCCCAATCAGCGCATAGACAGGGCTCTTCCGTGTGCCCTACGTCTCCGCCGGCCTTGAAGGTCATTGGAAGAGCAAGGCGTCAAGGGCAGCGCCTGACCGTACGAAGTGACGTTATGGCCTCGGCGCTGCAACGCTGTAGAAAACCGGAAGTTCCTGCGCTTTCCTAGCAGCGCCAACCTCCCCCCCACTCCACGCCTTTCCAGTTTTCCTTCTCTGTCCTAAGACCGTTAGCTGAAGGCCCGCTGCGGCATCCTGGGTAGCATACTGAGACATCCTGAACTCCACAGCGAGACCGTCTCAGAAAACCAAAGGGGCAAAAAAGGGCGTGCTGCTGCTTCCTTCAAATATTTATATTAACGTGATAAGTCACATGCAACCTTGGGAATTAGTCACATCTCAGGCCTGATTTGCACGGATCTTGGGCAAGATACTTTATCTTTCTCAGGATTAAGGTACTTTAAAAGACCGGGGATGTAGCTCAGTGGGTTCACTCTCCAGTGGAAAAAAACTCTTGGTAAATCACTGCATGGCCCCCAGGGTGGCTCAAATCTATGATCTTTCTGTCTCAACCTCCCAGAGTGCTGGGAGCGTCACCACATTGACAACTATTTTTTTTTACGACTATAGAATTTGAGGAATAAATTCGTTTTAGGGCTAACTTTAAGGCTCTACGTGCACAGAATATTTCTTGTTCGTGGGCCCAGTAAGAAAAAGTGAAAATTCAGAAAATATGAATGCCTTACATTCATGTATCACACTATATATTTTAACCCTGTTTCATATATTAGGGAATTTGTGTCCAGAGTTGGGATGAAATCCATATCCTGTTAATTTGACATTTTACCTAATAGCCTGCTAGGATCTGGAGATACAGCAATTAACAAGATTCTTTTTTTTTCTTTTTTTTTTTTGTCTTTTTCGTTTTTGTCGGTACCAGGGATTGAACTCACGACTGCCTGCTTGCAAGGCAGGTGCTTATGCCGCTGAGCTAAATCCCCAGCCCCAATTAACAAGATTCTAAACCTGAATAGAGTTGTTTTTTGTCTTTTTAAGACACGGTTTCACGAGGTAGTTCAGGCTGGTCTTGAATTCAGTGTGTAGCCCAGGTTTGGCCTCAACTTTGCAGAGATCTTCCTGCCTCAGCCTCCCAAGTGCTAGGATTACAGGTGTGCACTACTTTGCCCAGCCTCCTTCACAGAGTTTAAATTTCTAGGACAGGAGACACAAACCCTTATGTGATATTGTGGTGACATCATGAAAAAGCAAGGCAGTAATTCAGACAGCTGAGAAATTAATAGGCAAAAAAGAATAGAAGGGAAAGGGTAAAAAGGAAAGACAGAAGGAAAAAAAATTTTGTAAATAAGGAGGGGGAGACGGGTTGAAGGGAGGGAGGGGAATGGGAGAAAAAAGAAGCAAGGTATGTCACATACACGTATAAACTCCCTATGATGTTTTGTATATCTAAAACATGCTAAGCTGACTTTTTTTTTCTTTTGTACTGGGGATCGAACTCAGGACCTTGCATTTGCCAGGCAGGTGCTTATGCCACTGAGCTGTATCCCCAGCACTCTAAAATGTACCAATAAAATTTAAAAAATGCAAAAACAATTAGGCAGACAGGGTCTGAACCCTAGGAAGTCAGTGTGGAAGATGAAAACAGTTCACTTCTGTGGCCAGAGGCCCAGCCAAACAAAGCCAGGCCTCAAGATGCAGATGCAATAGCTGGGCCTGGGAGCCTCCTTTAGAGATAAGCAGCAATTTGAGATTGTACTGTAATCAGCACCAGCTGTCCAGTTGGCCGAGATAGGGACCAAACACATAGGTGAGCAACTAGGACATCCCAGCCTTTTCTGTGTATGTGGCTATAATAAGCGAGTGATGCTAGCCATATAGCCTTGTTATGGACCTTGCTTTACTAGTGGATCATCATTCGCTAAGTGACTATGCTTGTAATCCTATAGATAGGATGTAGTCTGACCCATGTTGTGATTTTGCTGCATAAAATATTCTTGGAGAGGATCGGAGATTTAGCTCAGTGGCCTAAGTGCCTGCCTGGCAGGTGTGAGATTATGAGTTTGATCAAAAAAAAAAAAAATCTTAGAGCCTCTGCGGCAAGGGACTTTTGGGACCTCTCCTCCGCTTGTCTCTCAGGAGCTCTCTCTCAATAAACCTTTGTTCCTCTCAACAACGTGGCCCTTGCAATCCATTGTTTGCTATTCTGGGGTCACGAACTTGGCACATGATCTCTAAGAGGTCAGAGTTTGTGTGTCTACCACAATAGGGCAGGACTATTTTTTTTGTCTTTTTCGGTACCAGGGATCGAACTCACCACTGCCTGCTTGCAATTATAGGCGCTTATGCTGCTGAGCTAAATCCCCAGCCCCTAGGGCAGGACTCTTAAAGAGAACATCTGAATGGGAAAGCAAGTCTGCGAAGGCAAAGTGAACACCAGGAAGAGGGAACCTTTGATTGCAAAGGCCAGGGGCTGTACTTTAGTGATAGATACTTGGTGTGAGATGGTTTTACAGGTAACAGAATCGCAATAGAGGGAAATTTGGCCAGGGCATTTCATGAAGGGCTCCATGGGAAAGTCTTGGAGATTAGGTGAGGTTTATGAAAGAACAAAGGTGGAACTTCCTTTTGTGTTGGATGTCAGTCATAAATTTCTCCCTTCTTCCAGAGCAGCAAAGGATTTTTTTTTTTTCTTGAGACAGGGTCTCCCTATATATAGTGCAGGCTGCCTTGAATTCATTATGTCCGGAACTCACAGTCATCTTTCTGCCTCAGTCTCCCAAGTGCTGAGATTATGTGTGCATCACCACTCCCGATTTGTGATCACTTCTTTATATATAAGTATCCAACTGTTAGACTGGAACCGAATTTTGGGGCGGGGGTGGGTGGGAGGGAACTCGGAAGAGCTAAAATGCCATTGGTGCTGTCTTCTTTTAATTAAAAACCTTAAGAAGGCATACCCACTGGACGTTACTTAACTAACAATTGTAAAGCAAAGACTGAAGCAGTAAATTTAGGCGATATGGAGTTCTGTTGATCAACATGGAGGAGCAGTTACAGCTGGAGTCTGCGAAAATACTTTTAACGGGTCCTCTGGGTATCCTGTAGAAAATCAGAAACAAACACCAATTATTCTCTTTAGCCGGAGCATGAGCATTGTAAATAATTCTTAAAGGGGTATCGGGGTGCATCGTAAGAGATGTTTCTCCGAGCTTAGTAGTGCATTCCTATTATTCCTAGACTCTGGGAGGCTGAGTCAGGAAGACTGCAAGTTCGAGCCCTGTCAGGGCAACTAAGCGAGACTGTCTCAAAATAAAAAATGAAAAAAAGGCCTGGGGGTGAAGTCCAAAGGGAAGGCAAAAATGAATGAATGAATGAGAAAAATTAATCTGCATTTCCTAACCCCTTGCAGCCAACCGCCAAGCTGAGAGCGCAGAGCAGCCCATTCTGGGGTCAGCGGGCAGGCGGCGTGGGCGGGGCGGCAGCGCTCCATGTGCTCACGCAAGGCGCGTGCGCGGCCGCGGCTGCATCTGGCGCTGGCGGCGCTTGCGCAGTCCCGCGAGTATCTTCAGCGCGATTTTGCGCTCGTGGCCGCCCGGCACCGGCCGGTTGGTGTGCAGGACCTGCTCCCGCCGGGTCCGACCCTTGCTGCGCCCAGCCCCTGAGGCCGGGAAGTCGCGCAGGTAGTAGTAGTCAGGGCAGTCGTACGCGTCCTCGTCCCAGCTCGCCCGCGGAAGTGTCTCGGGAGGCGGCGGCCGGGCCTGGAGATGAGCGCGAGGGCCAACAGAGCCCAGCCGGGGCTCCATGGTCCCCCGCACGCAGGCCGGCCGCGTGCGAACTGCGGGGGCTCGGCCCGCTCCGCGCTCCGATTGGCCTGCCTTGGGGGCGGGGCTAGATACGCTACCGAGTACCAGCGCGGGGCGTGGCCCCTGCGATTTGGGCATTGTGACACCTGCTGTGGGCCTGGGAGAGATACCTGTCAAACTCCGCTACAGCATCATCATCATCATTCTTTTTATTCTTTGCTGTATTGGAAATTGAACCAGGCCCTTCACACCAAGTCAATCCCATCCCTTTTTTATTTATATTTTACTTTATTTTTTGAGGCTGGGTTTCGCTACCTTGAACTCATTGTGTATCCCAGGCTGTCCTCGAACATGCGATCTTCCTGCCTCAGCCTCCCTAGTCCTGGGATTATAGTTATCCACCACCATGCCCAGCTAAATTTCTTCTTTTGAGACAGTGTCTCACTGAATTGCAGAGTTGTCCAGCTAGGTTTGAACTTGTGATCCTCCTGCCTCGGCTCCCTAGAGTGCTGGGATTATAGGCATAGGCCACCATGCATTGCTGCAATTGATTTTTTAATTTTTATTTTATTTATTTATTTTGAGGGTCTCACTGTTGTGGTTTAGGTTGGCCTTTGACTCACTGTGTTGTCTAGGTACGCCTCGAAGGCACAGCAGTCCTCCTGCCTTCGCCTCCCTAGTGCTAGTATTACAGGTGAAACTATCATGCTTGCTTGCTTCATTTCATTTCGTGAGCACTTTTGCTTCCCTTGTGCCCAGCGCCAAGCAGGCAGACTGGAGTTTTTACTGATGCTGGAGAGCTTCATGGCCCAAAGGGCAGAGGCCAAGGCCTCATGCAGAGTGGCAGCGGCAGAGTGGTGTCCACTCAGTGACCTGTGGTGTTCTTTTCCCTCCTGTTTGCACAGATCTTCTTTCTCTTACTATAGCAGGCTATTGTATGGCGACGAACCAGTTTCAAGAGGTTTCAGTAGTAAAGTTTTGGGTTGTGAAAGCAGGTGGCAAAAACATGACACGTTTTACATTTTTAGGTCTCATTACAGAAATAACTGCAGCTGGTGGAGAGCGACTGAGTACTACGTGCTGCCTTGCAAGCGCTGTTCTCAGCCTTTGCACACTTCCTGTCCACCAGCCTGGCCCTCTGCAGCCCTATTGCAGGCCGTGTAGAGCTTCTTGCTTTCCCATCGCACAGGCTGATGGTTTGGGGGGGTTGATTTAGTGTCTGTTACCAAAGAGTTCTTTTTTGCTGAGTTCATTTCATTATCGATTTTCGGGATTTTCATTTCATCAGCAAATAGACAGTTTTTATTAAGCATGTCCTTGTCAATTGTCATCGCTTTTCTAGTTGGATACGATGTGCTTTTTACCCTGTCCTGATTTTGGTGGGAAACTGTGTGGTGTTTCCCCAACTCCTGACTTCAGAACTGCAAAAATGCAACATGAATCTGTGTATTCTTAAGGTCATTCTTGCATTTGTGGTTGTCAAGAAGTAAAAGTTCAGTGTCCTCGGGAGCTGGCGTACTTGCTGGACAGAGGAAGGTGGGGCCCTGACTTGGTGATGGTTTCAGTGTGCCTCCCAGAGGGAAGCTGGTGGGAAGCTGGTTGCTCCTGGGAAGCTTGGTGCCAGTGTGGGTCCTTTAAGAGACAGGGCTTTGTAGCACACTTTAGAGTCATCCCCGAACCCTATCGGTGTGGTTCTCAGGAACCCTAGTTCTCCAGAGAACAGAACAGTTGTTAGGAAGCCTGGACACTCCGTAACTTTGGCCTCCAACTCAAGCCAGTCCTCCTGCTTAGCCTGGGATTATAGGTGTGTGTCACCATGCCCAGCTCAATTTTTATTTTTAAAAGAGATTGGTCATAAGACAAAATGAAACTTAGTTTTGGTTTATATTTTTTATTTTTTTCAAAACTCATAGAGGAGAAATTTTAATATTCTTCCTCACTTTTACAGCATGAAGTACTTGATATATATATATATATATATATATATATATATATATATATATTTGAGACAGAGTCTTTCTGTAGTTCAGACTGGGCTTGAACTCAATATGTAGCCCAGGCTGGCCTCGGATTTGCAGCAATCCTCCTGCCTCAGCCTCCTGAGGGTTAGGATTACAGGCAAATGCCACCATACCCTACTGTTGTCTTTCTTTAAGTTTTTATATTTCTATATATTTTTTGTATCTGGAATCGAACTTGCAACCAGGCCGGTGCTTATGGTGCTGAGCAAAACCTTCAGCCCCTCTCTATCTACTTTTCATGATTAACCTTCTTTTTTTTTTTTTAATTGGAATCAGGGATTGAACTCACGACCACACACTTGCAAGCCAGGTGCTTATGCTGCTGAGTTAAATCCCCAGCCCCTTGATTAACCTTATTTTGGATTTTTTTTTGTCTTTTTCATTTTTATTGGTACTAGGGATTGAACTCACGACTGCACACTTGAAAGGAAGACGCTTATGCCACTGAGCTAAATCCCCAGCCCCCTTATTTTGGATTTTGATTATGTCCATTAGTCACCATCCAGTGGAAGACCCAGATTCAGGAAGACTCAGTAGACTTTATTTGGTGGAGAAGGACAACCATCTACTAGGAAAGACCGAGCGGTAGATGCAGACTGATCCAGTGAAATCTGTTTGGGGTCGCCAGACTGATACATATGTATTTTTTGACAGTAGTAAAGATTAAATCCAGGGCCTTGCACATAATCAACTGGTTGATCACTGAGCTACATCCTCAGGCCTTTTATTTTTTATTTTTTTATTTAAAATAGGTCTCAACCTGCAGTTCAAGGTGGCCTTGAGCTCACTTTGTATCCCAGGCTAATCTTGAACTCATAAAGATCCTCCTGCCTCAGCCTCCCAAGTGCTGGGATTACAGGCATGTGCCACCATGCCCAGCTTCATTGTATTATTTTTGAGACAAGGTCTTGCTAAATTGCCCAGGCTGGGTCTGAATTTGGGATCCTCCTGCCTCAGCTTCCTGAGTTCTAGGACTATAGGTGTGAGCCATCATGTCTGATTCTTTCTCCTTTATATATTGGGGATTGAACTCAGAGCCACATCCCTAGTCCCCCCCTTTTTTTCTGAGACAGGGTCTAAGTCACTTCTTTTTTTTTTTTTTTTTTCCTTTTTTTTATCGGTACCGGGGATCGAACTCACGACTGCCTGCTTGCAAGGCAGGCACTTATGCCGCTGAGCTAAATCCCCAGCCCCGCTAAGTCACTTCTTAATGGTGAGACTGGTGTCAAATTTGCAGTTCTCTTGTCTCAGCCTCCCAGAGTGCTGGGATCATAGGTGTGGATCACTACACCCAGCCACAGACTTTTTTTTAAAAAATCGGTCCTGGGGATCAAACTCATGACAGCGGGCTTGCAAGGCAGGTGCTAAATCCCCAGCTCCTAGGCTCTTATTTTTAGATAGCTTAGAGTAAGGTCCAGCTGCAGCAGCCAGGGAATCTGAGTGCCCCTTCTCCATGCAGTTCCATGAGGCCTACTAGGTACAGTTGTCTTGGTCACTTTTTCCTGTCACTGGAACACAAATACCTGTCACCCACAGCTTGAAGGAGGAGAGGTGTATTTGGTGCACAGGTTTTGGAGGGTTCAGTCCATAGTGTATATGTGGACGCTCGAGGCAGGAAGGGCATGGTAGAAGGGTTTGGCAGAGGAGAGCTGCTCACCTGATGGAGGTTGGGAAGTGGGGAGCAGGGAGCCACCAGGGACAAAGCACACCCAGGCCACACCCCCAGTGACTGCCTCCAACCACGCCCCACTCCTCACAGCACAGACGCTGCTCTGATCATGGATGAATCCCCTGAGGAGTGCCAGCGCCCCATGATCCACTCTTTCCACACGGGAGACATTGGGGGACACTTGAGATCTAAACCATCACAACAGAACAAAAGCTCATGTGCACTTCTGTGTCCCTACTGCCTGAACAGTATGATTTTGCACAATGACTGGCTGTGTGAGGGTCCTGCTGGACAAAACACAGTGGTGTAAAATGTGACCCACTTATTCTGTTACAGCTGGGGGGGGGGTCAGAAGCCCTGCAAGGGTCTCTGGGCTGCAGTCCTGCCCAGAGCTCTGGCAGGGGATTTGGCTTCCTTCACCTCTGCTGCTCCAAGGGCTGCCTGTATCCTGCACTTGTCCGCACCATCTTTTCAAGCCAGCATGGTTACCAAGGCTTCTCATGCTGTCCCCTGGCTCTACCCTTTGTCTCCTGTATCTTCATTTAAAGGACCTTTGTAATTACACTGGGCATCTAACATGATACTACAGGATCATCTTGTTTTATTTTTTGTTTGTTTTGAGATACAGCCTCGCCTTAAACTCGCGGCATCCTCCTGCCTCAGCCTCCTGAGCGCAAGTTTTGGACCTCTTGTAAAACCGGAAACGAGATTTTGACCACTAATGGGAGAAGGTGCCTCCGTCTGGGGACAGGAAGGGTACGGAGAGCCACGCAGGGACGTGGGGATTGAAGCTACAGGGAAAGCAGTTCTTCCGGGGGATCATTAAGTCCCCTGCAGGGCGGTGGTGGTGGTGGAGCAAGTCTGGGCTGAGACCCCGCCCATCCTTGTCTCTTCCCCGGCGGCGCTGACGCACCGAAGCCGGCAGAGGGTGCAGGAGAGCTGCGGCCGACCCTGGCTGGCTCTGCGTTCGGCGGTGGGTGTTCTGTGAAGGGCGGCAGCTGCGAGACCCCCATCTTCAACATAACACGGTGACTTCTCTGCCATTGGTCTGCAGAGCCTGGTTCTCGGACCTAGGGGACAGACAGGCCCTTCCTCGGTGGCCTCATCTTTGCACTGTAGCTGAGCTTTGCACTGTAGCTGGCCCCTTAAGACAGCTGCCAGTCCTCTATTCCTCTCTTTTTCTTTATTTTCGTTTTTTTTTTTTTTTTTTTTTTTTTTTTTTTTTTGATACTAGGGCTTCAATCCCAGGCCTTTGCACTAAGCTAGATCCCCGAGTGACCCAGACCTGGCTCCAACTTGCAATCTTCCTGCCTCAGCTTACCAGGTGCTGGGAATTCAGAGTGCTAGTCCTATACTTTTTTTTTTTTTCCAGGTACCAGGAATTGAACTCAAGAACTTGTGCTTGCTAGGCAGGTGCTTGTACTACTGAGCTATACCCCCAGGCCCTAGCCCAGTATTCTTTTTTTTTTTTTTTTTTTTTTGCCCAGTACTCTTGAAAGTTCTTTCTCTCTCACTAGTCAATCCTTTGTTACACTGCTCCCCTGTTTTACTTGGTAAAACTATTGCATGGTCCACACATCTCCTGGTAGGACCCCAAAAGATAAAGAATTGCCATCAGAAAAAAAAAAAAAAAGAATTGCCATCAGGAGGGCTTTCAGGTGGCGAGGGACACATAACAGGTGGGACCTGGGAGAAAGTCTCTAGCTGTGGCTTTGCCCTTGAGTGCAGTGCTGGGTTCCTTGCTAATAGGAAACAAGATGCCCACGACTTGAGGCAAGAGGAGACTGCACAGTAGGTCAGGCTACAAGCCGGGTGTGGTGGCACACACCTCTGATCCCAGCACGCAGGAGTCTGAGGCAGGAGGGTCACCAAGAGTTTGAGGCCAGCCTAGAAGTGAGAACTTGTCTCAAAAAAACCACATGATGATGATGGTGGTGATGAAGAAGAAACTGATATCAAGTGCACTCAAAAACTTACAGAGAGAAAAGTTCAAAGCTTTAACTTTTCAGCTTACATCATCATCTAAGAATGAGAGAACTTTCTCATTTCCTAAAAAAGGGCTGATATTTTGGGGGGCCGCTGAGTTACCATGACAGCCAGATACATGCTCTCTCTGTTTTCTCACCTGAGGTGGAGGACATCGATAGGTAGACCCAGAAAGAAATGAAGTGAGCACAGGAGGTGACTGAAGAATACCAAGAATATTCAAATTTTTAAAATGTATTACAGTAAAAGACACATTGCTATGAATCCCCTCAAAATGCTCCCTTCACTTCAGACACACATATCCCACTGTTCGTTATTTCTTTTTGAGACAGTCTCACTATGCAGTGCAAGCTGGCCTTGAGCTCACTTTTGTAGCCCAGGCTGACCTATCTGCTCTACCCTCCTCCTGCTTCAGCTTCCCAGGTACTGACATTATAGGGCACCACCTTGCCTGGCCTCTTGTTCTTTTCTAAAGCAGTTCTGGAGTCCTCTTTCCTGAGTGTCTTTATGAGATGTGGGGAAAAATACTGTGAATGCTGCCGCCCAGCGCCATCCAACAGAAAAGCTGGCTCATAAAACCACGACGCTGTGTCCTCATCCACCATAATCACCAGATCTGGCACCGTGTGACTTCTGGCTTCTCCCCAAAGTCAAAATGATCATGAGGAGGAAACAGTTTGAGTCATGGGGGACATCAGGATCACCAGCGCAGTGCAACTAGGACCTTCAAGAAAGATGAATCCAGACTTGCTTCAGAAAGTGATGGTGCACACCTGTAATCCCAGCACTCGGGAGCCTGAGGCAGGAGGATCGCAGCAAGTTCAAGACCACCGGGCTACAAAGTGAGCTCAAGGCCAGGCTGAACTACATAGCAAGACCCTGTCTCAAAAAAGACAGAAAAAAAAAAATGACAAGAGTGATGGGCTAGTTCGGTGCCCGGTACCAAAATAAAAAAGAACAGTGGGCTAAGTGTGACTGAAGCCAACGGGAAGATTTGGAGGGTGACTCACTGTCATGTGCTTTACTTTTTATTTATTTATTTTTTGTCTCTTTCGTTTTTATTGGTACCAGGGATCAGACTCATGAGTGCCTGCTTGCAAGGCAGGCACTTATGCTGCTGAACTAAATTCCCAGCCCCTCATGTGCTTTACTTTGATCAGGACTTAAACATTTAAATACCCTATTTTAGATGTGCATACATACAGTCATTGTGAAAGAAATCTCTGAAAGTTGGTATTTCCCTCAGCCTTCTGCCAAAAGTGTGTGTGTCTGAGTATGTCTGAGTGTGAGTGTCTGTGTGTGTGATGCTGGCGATCACATCCATGGCCTCCTCCTGCTGGGTGACCACGCATCAACCTCCCTGGCCCTTCCATGTGTGTCTCCACCTCTGTTCCATCCAGGCTTTTGAAACCACCCTCAAGTGCTGGCACCAGCGAGGTACAAAGTGCGGATCCTGGTGACAGTGCACAGAGGTGTCGGTCAGCAGGCCTTTGCCCTTTGGCCGCCTTCCAGCAGGGCCTGGGAGGGCTGCGTGTCATCCCTGTCCACGTGGACCAGGAGCCCTGCCATTTTCCAGGCATGACCTGTGATGGGCGAGGTCAGTGGCATTTCTAGAGCAGAGACATGGAGAGCAGCTCGGGCCCGGAAGGAAATTCTGCAGGAACTTGGCTCTCATGACCTGCTCCTGGCTTTGGCAGAGTTGACCGTGTGTGTGTGTGTGTGTGTGTGTGTGTGTGTGTGTGTGTGTGTGCACGCGCACGCCCATGCGTGTGCAAAGGGCTGGGTCAGAGTGGCCGGAGGGAAGGGGGTGCAGGGCTGTGACCCTGCGCTTGTGTGGCCCTAGGGTCAAAGTATCCAGCAGCCTTGGTTCTGGAACATGAATGTTTTAGTTTCTATTTTGATGAATTATCTGTAGATTATATGATTCTAGATTAGATGTTTCAGTGTATGCAAAAATGTAGAAAAAGTCTGACATATAAGAGGTGCCAAATGAATGTTAATTCAAGTAGCTCATTCTTTTTTTTTTTTTTTTTTTTTTTTTTGTCTTTTTCCTTTTTAGCGGTACTGGGGATCGAACTCACGACTGCCTGGTTTACCAGGCAGGCACTTATGCCGCTGAGCTAAATCCCCAGCCCCAAGTAGCTTATTCTTTTTCTTTTCTTTCTTTTGTGGGACCAGGGGTTGAACCCAGGCCTGCTGACTTACATACCCAACCCAGTTTTACTTTCATACTGAAACATCTTGCTAAATTGGCCAGGCTGGACTTGAATCAGAGATTCTTCTGCCTCAGCCTCCCCCAGTGCTGGGATTATAGGTGTGTTCCATCATGCCTGGTTCAGCGAGTTCTTAACTATTTAAAATGTTTTACAAGTATTATTATGTAAAAATAATTTGTAAGTATAATATAAAAATCCAAGTCACATAGAAAAATGCAGCCAGGTAATGGTGATGGTGGCACTGACCTGTAACACAGCAAAAACAAACAACAACAAAATCAAAGAAAGTAACACATCAGGAAATTTCCTACCACCAAGAGACATTTTTTCCCAGTACTTGGGATTGAACCCAGGTGTGCTCTATCACTGAGTTACACCCCAACCCATTTTATTTTATTTTACTTATTTTATTGTGAGACATTGTCTTGCTAAAATGGCCCAGGCTGCCCTAGAGCTTGAGAGTCTCCTGACTCAGCCTCCCAGGAGTCTGGCAGCCATGCACCACTGTGTCCCTCCCCGTGATTCTTCCTCACGGAGTTTCGGGTTCAGCTCATGGCTGCTGTACTTCCTGAGTGGCTGTGTGTTCCTAATGCTGCCTGCTGCTTCTGTCCTTGGATGAAGTCTGAGACCTTCCTGATCCCTTCCTCTTCCTGAGCCCTGCCTTTGAGCAGTGCCTTCAGCAACATCTAGTGCTGCCCATGGCTGTGGAAAAGCCAGGCTGGCTAAGGTCTTCCTGGTGTTTCCCTTAATCTTGCAGGGCAGTATCTGGGCCGACACAGGCTCATGACCAGTCGCTCTACAGTAATTTTTGCTGTAATTTTTTTGGTTTTTTGAGACAGGGTCTCACTATGTAGTTCAGGCCTTTAACTCACTATGTGGTTCAGGCTGGCCTGGAACTCACAGCGATCCTCCTGCCTCAGCCTCCTGAGTATTGAGTTGACGGGCGTGCCCCATCCAGCCTGGCACTCCATAGCAGTTTTTGCAGATCCTGGATTTCTATGTAGCTTTTCTGTTTATTTTTTAGGTTCTCCATCCTCTAGGTCACCGATTGACAACCCCAGGGTTATGCTATGGTCTCTGCCTAATTTATAATTACTAGATCACTTTCAGTTGCTTTAATCTACTTTTTTAATTCTCTGCATTCATGATGATCACGTGAATCATGTCCTCCGTGATCATCAATTGGAGGTAGCACCCTGTTGGTTCTTCCTGGACTTGTTGTTGTTGGTTTTTTGAGACAGGGTCTCGCTATGTACTCCAGGCTGGCCTTAAACTCACTAGGTAGCCCCGCTGGCCTGGAACGCCCAGTGATCCTCTTGCCTCAGCCTCCTGCATGCTGGGATGGCAGGCGTGTGGCATCACACCCAGCTCTTCCTTGCCCCTCACTGATTAAGGGGTGGTGTTTGGGGTCTGGATCTGCATTCTTGGATTTTATTGGCTTGTTTTGTTTCTTGGCAGAGCCGGGCATGGAACCCAGGGTCCCGGCATGCCAAGCACACATCTACCACTGAGCTTCAGCACCAGCCCCCCTTCACTAAAGTTCGGAGACAAGAGCTTGCTGAGTTCCCAGGGTGGCCTTAGACTCGTGATCCTCCTGCCTCAGCGTCCGGGGTGGCCGTGGTTATAGGGGCCCTCACCACGTCCACCTTCTTGTGCTCTGTGGTGTCTCTTTTCATCTCATTCTGTTTCTTTCTCGTTTCTGCTGCCTTATTCCTTAGTCACCTAGAGTATGGGCGTTCTGTGGGGCATTTTATTCCAACTTGGGGATACGTTTTCTTCCTCGGTAGCTGCTCCCCGCTTCCTCCTAGCTGGGCTGCCTGCCCTGCCGTGCACACAGTGTCTGCTTCCAGGTCGCTGCCTTTGCCCACACCCAGCCCTTGAATTCAGCCTAAACCTCATCTCACTGCTGGACATTTCTACCTGCATGGCTGATAAGCCTCTCAAAGTTAAAATGTCCTATGTGAAACCCTTGGTTTTTATCCTGTGACCTCCACTCATCTCTTCCTGTGTGGTCTTTTCCCCTGTTGTCCAGCCTGGCTGCTGCATGGCCCTCCTCCCCCATCCCTCCCATTTCTGGTCCTGCCGAGGGGTCTGGGATTCTTCAGGTCTCTGCCCTCTCCTCCACTGCTGCGTGATTCATGGATCACAGGACTCTGCTCCTTCTTGCACTGTTCTCCCTGCCCAAGTAACCAGTTCTTCCACCCAGGAGCCAGGTGTGGCTTTAAACCCTAGCTTCAAATTCTTTGATTGTTCATGCATCAACAGTGGAATTGTTGCCATATGTGGTGCACGCCTGTAATCCCAGCACTCAGGAGGCTGAGGCAGGAGGATTGCGGTAAGTTGGAGGCCAGTCTGGGCTACATAATGGATTCAAGGCCAGCCTAAACTACAATAAAACTCTGTCTCAAAAAGAATGTGGAATTGTTCTGCACAGCAAAGGAAATGACTCACAGAGCCATAGACACTGTACACGATGGGGAAAGGTTTTGCCAGCCACTCCTCCGACAGAAAACTTGCATCTATAATGTATAAAGAACTCAGAATAAATAGACCTCTCAGTGTGTAAGACCAGGTCAAAACATGGGCAACAATAAATACATGAAAAAATGTTTGACCTCTCTGGCCCTTAGATGCAAATTAAACCAACACTGAGAAGGGGCTGGGGATTTAGCTCAGCGGTATAAGCGCCTGCCTTGCAAGCAGGCAGTCGTGAGTTCAATCCCCAGTACTGATAAAAAGAGAAAAAAAAGTGTAAAAAAAAAAAAAAATCAACACTGAGATTCCCTCTTAACCCAGAGAGAATGGCCATCGGCAAAAATCAAATAATAACAAGTGCTGGCGAGGCTGCAGGGGAAAAAAATGAACCTTCCCACGTGGCTGGCGGGGAATGTAACCGGGTACAACCACTATGGAAATCAGGACCCAGGTTCTCAGCAAACTAGCACCAGGAATTCCATTCAGCCAGGTGTGGGAGGCCAGATGGGCAGATTAGGGCCTAAGTGGCCTCTTCCACAGCAGTAGGAAGGAGGCAGTGGGGTGCGTGGCACAGCTGCGTGCAGGCGGCGGTGGGAGACAGAGGCGTCCTGTGCTGCTCGGATTGCCTGTGCCCGTGTCTCAGTGAATACAGCCAGGATGTGCCAGTCACTCAGGGCTCTTTGTCACGGGAGACAAGAGCCCCTGGCCCCTCACATTTTAACCAATTCGGTGTCTTTGTGTTTCATTTTCATCGAGCCTTGGTCCAGGTACAAGCCCATGGGTTGGACCCCTACAACCAGCTCTTCCCCTTCTAGGTGTCTTCCCTAGAGTTAACGATACCACATGGCAGTGGCCATGCACACCCTTGTTTATAGAAGCACAGTTCCTAACAGCCAAATCCTGGAGGCAGCCTACATATTGATCAACGATCAACAGGTGAATGGATAAAGAAAACAGGATATTTATACACAATGGAGTACTACTCTGCCATAAAGAAGAATAAACGAGTGGGGTGTTGGAACCCGGAAGTACCTTGAGACCACAATGGTAAATGAAATCAATCAGACACAGAAATTTGCTATTACAAACCCAAGGTATGCATAATTTAAAGGGCACACTGAAGATGATAGGAAGCAAGGAGGAGACCCAGGATTGGAGGGAGGGGAGGTGGGGCGGGGTTGTGGAGATGCCATGTACACCGGTCCCAGCCGCCCAGGGTGAATGCCCAGTGTGAATGTGTGGCCCCAGACACAGTGGCTTTCGCTTGCATCCGGGCCTGGCCCCAGGCTGCCTGCGGGGGGTGGGGGGAAGCGCTGGCGCCACTGTGTCCTCTGTCGGGATGCAGAGTCAGGTCTTGGAACTCACACTGGTGTCAGCCGGGCTCGCCGTCCTGGGCTGGGTTCCCGCAGATCCTGCTGTCATTCGGTGAGGAAGCCGCAGCGACAGACTCTGTGTAAGTATCTCAGCGGTTTAGACCTGGTGTCCCCAAAGTCCCCTGAGTGTGGGGGTCATGGATCAGCTTGGCGCGGATTCCTCCCTGGCGCACTGTGCTGTGAGGGGGCGGGGCCTGGCTGGAGGGGCCAGAATTAACTGGGCGAGGCGGCTCGCCTGATATGTAATTACAGCATTCAGGAGGCAGAGGCAGGAGGATCACCGAGAGTTGCATGCCAACCCTGGCTACCTTGATATCTTGTCTAAAAAAAAAAAAAGGAAAAGAAAAAGAAAAAAAGTTGCAGTAAAAGAAAATGTCGGTATGCTTGTTCAATTTTCCACTAGCAAACACCTATGAGTACAGAGGAACTTTTAAAAATTCACTTATTTAAGTCCTTCTGCCCAGCTTGTACCAAACCAGCGCTAAGACCTTACCTGGCCGTCTTCAGGGCAGTTGGGGGTCTGGGAGGAAGGGTTTGAGATTTGCCACTTTGTGGGAACAGCAGCTGGTGGTGAACGGTTCCCACTGGTCAGCCTGGCTCACCAGGTGCGAGATTCCTCCTCCTACAGGTGGTGGTGGTGGGGGGGAGCCATGAGCCCTGAACCCCTAATGTAACCTTAGCCTGCGGACATTTTTTTTAATTTTAAAGAGATTAAGACCAAACAGGACATAACAAAGTAGATCTCACATTGAGATATTTATAAATAAGTAGGTGCAACTTGAGACCATACTCATAAGCAAGATAAATCAAACTCACATGTATAGATACCGTATAGTCTCCCTAGTGTAAGAAATGGTAAGAGTACATAAGAGTTTATAGTAATCATGATTCCCCATTACATTGTTCTGAAGCCTTATGATGTCTGCATTCATTAGGTGGAATAGTTTTATCCTAGTTTGATTTTATTACCTGTGATAGTATGAACAGCTAGTTTGAAGAAAACAAGTCATTATAATAGCCAGTGCTGATTTTTTTTTGCCAATGCTGATTTAATATCATCTTACTCTGAAGTCCTACCATGCTTTTGCTCTTGTTTCCATTGGTTCTATCATATTGTATCTTATTGGATTTATTATGTGTGATAGTATAAGCAAATTTTCTATGGAAAATGAGATAATATAGTAGTCATTGTTTGTTTTCTGTTATTTGGTTCTGAATGCCCTGTAATACTTTCATTCTCTTTAATGGTTTTATACTATTTTGTTATATTTGGTACTATTGTATATGAAGTTATGCTCAACTATTTCAAAGAAAGAGACATTATGGTAGTTACTGTTGATTACGGGTTGTTTTCTGGTTGAAATACTGTGTTGCTTACATTGTTCTTAGAGGAGTGGCCAGAAAAGGCTGCTACTAGGAGGCAATCTGAGCCTGGAATCAAAGATGGGGGAGTCCTCGTAGAGGGAGCAGCCAGCATATCAGGGATTGGCCTGTTGTAGGAGAGATGCAGAGATCCTCCTGCCTCAGCTTCCCTGGTGCTGGGATTTCAGGTATGTGCCAATTTTTGTTTCAAGGGAAACTAATACATTGGACATGGAAGGGCAGGAGGGGGAAGGAGAGGGAAGGTGGGGGGGACCACCTCAGTGTCCTTGGGTCACCCTAAGACAAGAGTGGGGTGGGCCTCAGTACTGATAGACCAATCCTGGATACTTAGCCCTGCACCCACGGCCTGGAGGGATCACCTGAAGGAGGGTTCTCGGGGAAAGCGTTGGCTCTTTAAAATCAAGGTTTTGATTCATTTCTTGGATGGGAACACAGTGACCTGCTGGTTTCAGACAGGGCCGAGGGACTCTTGTGTGTCTGGATGTGTATGTGCGCGCGTGTGTATGTGTGGTATTGGGAACTGAACCCAGGCCCTCTGCACTGAGCATCCCCACACCTTCATAAATTTTAAATTCTGACACACAGTGTCACTGCATCACTAAATTGCCCAGGCTGAGCTTTACCTTGTGATTCGCCTGCTTCAACCTCCCAGAGTTCAAGAATTATTAGCAACACCACTGTGGCCCACTGAGTTGTGTACATCTTGTATTTTGTATTTTTTTGAGACAGGCTTTCGCCGTGCAGCCCAGGCTGGCCTTGAACTCATGGTGGTCCTAACTCGATTGCTAATGTATTTTGCTGTGTCTGGAAGTGGGAAATAATCTCCCCTTTCACTTAGCTGAAGTTCCCCTGGGATGCAACTGCTGTCATTCTGGGTCACCCTGGATCACTGGGACAAAGGCCTAACTAGCCACCCTGGGGTGAATGTTTGGTCCCCTGACTTTACTGTACCCTAGTTTCACAGAGTGCAGGGGAGCAGATGGACCAGCTCAGGGGCCCCCCGCCCCCTCATTAAATTCCCAGGAAAGAGCATGCCTATGAGACTAAGAGAAGCCGAAAAGTCTGGCTTGTTTTCTTCTTCTGAGACAGGGTCTTGCTGAGCAGTCCAGGCTGGCCTGGAACTCAAAGTAATCCTCTTGCCTCAGCCTCCCAAGTGCTGGGATTTCAGGTGAGCACTGCTATGTCTGGGAGTGTTGATTTTGCAGTCTGCCACCTGGCTGAATTCATGCGTTCTAGAAGTCTTCTGGTGAATTTTCGGGGCCATGGATCGCGTCATCCGTAGATAATGATGTCCTGAGGCTTCTTTTGCTACCAGGTTTCCCGAAAGTAAGACCTAGGTGGAAAATAACCTTGACAGCTAGAGATCAACAGTGCAGCCCCATCAGCTTCCTCTCTCCTCCCTTCACTTGCCCTACAGAGAAGGCGGAGGAGCAGAGCGGGAGGACCGGCCAGGGCTCTGGGCTGATCGTGCCTGGGCAGGGGCTCCGGGCAGCGCTGGGCCAGGCAGTGGGCGGGTGTCACGTGACGCCCAGCTCCATGAGGGCGGGGGCCGAGAACAGGAGCCGCCCTGGAGCTCTTGCTTTCCTCCGCGGGTTGCACAGGTGGCAGTGTTGGCTCAGGGACCCTGGGTGTGTTGTCTTCCCCACTGGGCTCCCTCTTTCAGGTGGCAGGAGAGCTGCAGGGCCGATGTAGGATTAGAGCACTTTCTGGAAGGTGGGGGCAGAGGGTGCACCTAGCCCGAGCTGTTTTGCTGTGGTTCACTTTTTTTTTTTAAATGTCTTTTTTGAGACAGAGTCTCGCTATGTGGTTCAGGTTGGCCTGGGCTCACTTTGTAACCCAAGCTGGTCTCTCAAATTTGCAAGGATCCTCCTACCTCAGCCTCCCCAGTGGTGGGATTACAGGAGTGCTTTGGTATTTTTTTTTTTTTAAGATAGGGTCAGTGTCTGTAATTCAGGATGGACTTGAACTCATGGCGATCCTCCTGCCTCAGCCTTCTGAAATCTGGGAGTACAGGTGTGTGCCACCATACCTAGCTTCTTTGGTTTTTTTTGTTTTGTTTTTCTTTTCAATGAGCTGTCGTGTCTTTTTTTTTTTTTTTTTTTTGTACCGAGAACCAAACTCAGGACCTTGTGCTTGCCATGCAGGTGCTTTCACCAGCCCTGTCATGCATTTCTTTGTTTGTTTTCCATTTGGAGCTAACCGTTAAGGTTGGTTTTTTGAGGGGAACAGTGCTTTGAGACAGGGTCTTACTGCATAGCTCTAGCTGGCCTTAAACTCACTGTGCAGCCCAGCTTTGGCCTCCAACTCACAGCGATCCTCCTGCCTCTGCCTCCCAAATGCTGAGGTTATAGATGTATGCACAACACCTGGCCCTAAACATTAAATTTAACCTGGGCCAAGTGAAAGCATAAAAAAGCAGACAAACCAGGTATGGTGATTAGTAGGCCTGTAATCCCAGCACTCCAGAAAGCTGAGACAGGACGATTGTAGGTTCAGGCTCAGCCCAGTTTAGCAAAACCCTGTCTCAGAATTTGAAAAATAAAATTAAGAAAAAGGATTGGGGATATAGCTCAGTGCAAAGGCCCCGGGTTCAATCCCAGATACTGAATTATTTCGTTCAACACTCAAATCACCTTTTTGTGTTTGGCCTTCCCTCATTTTCCTGTTGGCCAGTTGAGCAGTCTTATGTGGAGGGTTACTCGATCAATGCTCTCTGGTTCCGATGTATTTCTTTTGCTCCAAGAGTAATTTTGTTTGTTGAAGCATAATGATGTGCACCTGTGGTCTCAGCACTTGGGAGGCTGAGGCAGGAGGATTGCAGTGAGTTCGAGCCAATTTGGGCTCCATAGTGAGTTTAAGGCCAGCCTGCACTACATAGTGAGGCCCAGTCTCAGAAAACCAAAATGTTGCCTCTGTTTGATTGGCCTACCCTGTACATATTCACAACCTATGAAGACAGCATTCTTTAATACTGCCTCAAAAAAGAGGCGTCTGGGAGGGGCGAGCCCTTGCCAACCTTTGCCCTTAATCACAGATGGAGCGAGTGTCTTGGTTCTGGAGCTGGTGCCCCTCGAGAGCTTGCACAAACACAAAATTGAGAAACGCAGCTGGCTGACAGTGGAGAGAAGGCAAAAGGCGAACCAGTTTTCCCCTGAGGCAGGGACATTCCCTGGTGGCCTCTCAAGCTGTTCTGCACTTGGGAGCAGGCAGGGCCCTGTGGGAGACCCATGCAGTGCTGGCTGAGCTTAGCTGCCCTGGTTTCCCCTGCCTGTGGAGTGATTTAGTCTTCAGTCCCAATTCTTTTCTCTCTTTCCTTTTTTTTTTTTGTCTTTTTCCTTTTTATCGGTACCGGGGATCGAACTCACGACTGCCTGCTTCTAAGGCAGGCGCTTATGCCACTGAGCTAAATCCCCAGCCCTTTTTCTCTCTTTCCAATCAAAGGACCAGTGGGGAGCCACACCACACTCCTGTGATCCTGGCTGCATGGGAGACTGAGGCAGGAAGATCACTTGAGCCTAGGATTTTACCACCAACCAGTAGAGCAATAGAGTGATAGAACAATAGAGGGAGACCCCATCTGAAAAATAAAATTAAATAAGGCCAAGTGTGGTAGCCCATGCCTGCAATCCCAGCGCTCAAGAGGCAGAGGTAGGAGGATCACCATGAGTTCCAGCCCAGCCTGGGCTACGTAGTGAGTTCAAGGTCAACCTGAACTGTGTAGCAAGACTCTGTCTCAAATAAGTAAACAAAATTCAATACAGAATAGAAGTTGAAAATTAGACTAAAGCTAAAGTTCCCTAAGATCATCTCAGTACAGACGTTCTACAAGGGGTTGAATGGGCTTTTGTCTCCATTAGCACGTGTACAGAGATACTCTAGTCTTGGGAGAAAGTGTCCTCAAGGCCCTCTAATTCTGCAGTTGCCCAAATGAGGGCCTCCTGTCATTCCCTCCTCCCTGTCTCCTCTTCCTGCCCTTTCTCCTCCCTGCCTTTTTTTCTTTTTTATTGTGTAATACAGGAGGCCCTTGAACTCACTTTGTAACCCAGGCTGGCCTCAAAGTCCAGGTGATCCTTCTGCCTCAGCCTCCTGAGTGCTGGGAATTCCAAGCACACACCACTATTCCTGGCTCCCTGCATTGCTTTATAATAACATTCATGACCTTTGTCTGCATATCTTTAGAACGATGTCTTTCAGCTTTTGAGGCTGGAACTGAGTTTTGTAAACTCTGGTTTGAGTCACGTTTGGCGAGGAGGAAAGGGAGTGACCAAGCCTGATGCCACAGCCTTGGTGAGAACCGAGTCCCCGTGCAGACTTCGGACTCTGAAATGCTGTGTGGCAGTCACTGGGTCACAGGTCACACTTCCTGCCAGACTGAGAACCGCCAAAGAGCAATATCTTGGGAGCAGAGAGGCCAGCTCCAGGCCTTCCCTTTCTTTGCTTCTCTTTATTTGCTTGGTACAGAATTTTCACGTGGGGACTTTGCGCCCATTTGAGTTGTACAAGACACATCTGTGACTTTGGTTTTTAAAATGTGCTGATTGCTCAGCTCCATGAAAATGTGAGGACAAATAATTGCAAAAGAAAAAGAAACAGTCGCCATATTCCAGTTTACTTTGAGAATCAGGCCAAATATTTATATTTGTTTGTCTATTTATTGTCTTTTTGAGACAGTGTCAGGCTATGCAGTGCAGGCTGACCTTGAGCTCACTTTGGAGCCTAGGCTGGTCTGGAATTCATAGTGATCTTTCTGCTTCAGCCTCCCCAGAGCTGGGGTTACAGGAGTGTATCACCACACCCAGCCCGAATCTTTATTTTTATTTGTGCTTACCAGGTAGGCACTTATGTTGCTGAGCTAAATCCCCAGCTCCCAAATCCCTATTTATTTATTTATTATTTTATTTTTGTACCGAGGATTGAACTCATAGCCACTCATTTGCCGGGCAGGTGCTTACGCAGCTGAGCTAAATCCTCGGCCTCCAAATCTTTACTTACAGCATACACTTTAGCTTTCATGGGAGCATCGAGGCTCAGTGTAAGTGTGCTGACTTCCCCTTTGCAAGGGTTACATGTGTCCGCCGTGCAATGACCAAACTTCCCTTTCTAAGGGTCATTATGCAGATGCTGAATGAAAAACCGCTTCACAGGGGCCAGAGTAGGAGAGCAGGCACTGTATGGATGGCTGCATTGATGAGAATTTTCTTTTCTTAGAGACAAGGTCTCACCATGTAGTGTAGACCGGCCTCTAACTCATGGTAATCCTCCTGCCTCAGCCTCCCAAGTACTGGGATTACAAGTGTGTGCCACCACATGCAGCACTTATGGGGACTTTTCAACCCAAAGTTTTACATTTCCAGTCAAATGTAGCGCTGTGCACCTAAATCTCAGCCCCCTGGGGGGCTCGGGCTGGAGGATCAAATGTTTAAGTCCAGCCTGGGCAGCTTAGTGACTCAGTAAGACCCTATAAGGTTCAGTGCGAAGGTCCTTGGTTCCATCCCTACCTCACTCCATTTCTGTGATTTCGAGCGCTTCCTCCTTCCGTCCATCAGCTTCTGCTGTGGCCCCCAGTGGCCCCTGCCTGCAGCATTTGCTGTTCTGCGAGTCCCTCTCCGCTTCGGTACAGGTTGGGCCAGCTCACTTGGTTCTTTTCAGGGGCTGCTGGAAGTTGAGCCCAAGGCCTTTGCACTGAGCTGCTGGCCCAGCTTTTTGTGTTGTGGTGTTTTGCTTCTGAGACAGGCTTTTACTATGTAGTTCAACTCACTATGTGGCCCAGGCTGGCCTTGAACTAGGAGTAATCTTTCTTCCTCAACCTCCCGAGTGCTGGGATTACAAGCGTGTGCCATCATGACCAGCAAAAGACAGCATTTTTACAAATTTAGTGTAGATCCCCTTGACTTGTGTTAGCTGTTTGTTGCCATGACAAAATACCTAAATAATCTGCTTAAAGGAAAAAAGAACTTTTACTTTGAACAGGTCTCACTGGGTAGCCTAGGCTGGCCTTAAACTCATGGCAGTCCTCCTGCCTCAGCCTCCCAAGTGCTGCGATTACTGGCATGTGCCACTATGCCGGGCATGAAAAGATTTGTTTTAGTTTACAGGTTTGGTGTTTTCTACCCACAGTGCGCTTGCTCCTGAGGAACAGAATTCACAAAGGTGACTGTGTTGTGCCAGTGATGAACTTGCAAACACATTGTCCGGTCACCTCTCAGGTCTCTCTGTCTTCTCCTTTTGCCTCCGATGCAGCCAGCTGCTGGCTGGCAGAGGACTCAGATCTCTTGGCGACAGTCATCAAACATGGAGCTTCATCAGACACTGAAGAGGAGGTGAACCCTGACGAGCCACATGGGGCCGTTCTGAGCTGGAGCCAGCACCGCCCCAGCCAGCGTCTTCACTGCAGGCTTGTGTGCGAGAAAGCCTGAAACAGAAGGCGGCCACCCCAGGCTCCTGGGAGCCTGGATCCCTGCCTGAGAGAAGCTGTGACATGGTAAATACTGTTGCTTGCAGCCTCTCAAAGCCTTGAGGGTTTGAGGTGATTTGCTAGCAGCAATAAATAACTGCATCATCCAAGATTGCCATGAAGTACCACCCTTAATGTTGTTCTCATTTTTCTTTTCTTTCTTCCCTTCTTTCTATTTACTTATTTAGTTTTGGTCTTTTTGAGTCATGACCTCATTATGCAGTTCAAGCTGACCTTGAGCTCACTTTGCAGTCCAGGTTCATTTTAAATTTGCAGCAATCTTCCTGCTTGAGCCTCCCAAGTGCTGGGATTTCAAGCATACACCACCATATCCAAGATTTCTGTTTATTTATTTAGAGATGAGTTCTCACTATGTTGCCCAGGCTGGCCTTGAACTCCTAGGCTCAGCCTTCTGAGAACCTGTCATTGTCATCACAAGCCACCTCCTTGGACTGTTGACGCCAGCAGAACTTTTCACGATCCAATTTTTTTGAGACTGGGTCTCACTGTGTAGCCTAGGCAGCCTTGAATTTGCAGCAGTGTTCTGGGCTCAGCCTCCCCAGTGCTGGGATAACAGGTGTGTACCACCATGCCTGGCTGATCCAAACGTTTTGCTTACAGATTTACTTTCACTGAAATCTGCCATCTAAGAGGCAGCCATCCTAAAGTTTGCCTTCAATTGTAAAAATCAGTCACATTCTTTGCTCCCCAAAATTGTCATTTACTTTTTCCATCCTCATGGGGGTTTAATTTACTATATTAAAATGTTGGTTATTTTATCTTATTCTGTTCTTTTGGTGTGGGGTTGAACCCAGGGCCCTTGCACATTCTAGGGAAGTGCTAGGCAAATGCTCTGCCACTGAGCTGCACCCCTAGCCTGAGGGGTTGAACTCAGTTGAGCTGGGCAGGCTGGCTATGCAGGGATTCTGTACCTCTGGAGAGGTGAGGCCCTGTGGTTCTGCCAGCCTCCTGCTGTCTGGGTGGTGTTGACCCTTAAACACTTCCAACTTGCTCTTTCTGAGGTTCCATCATGCACAGTTTCTTCATCTTTCACAACCTGGTGGCTACATATGGATTCGGTGGTCTGGCTGCCTGGTCAGGGATTTGAAACAAATGCAACTGGAAAACTGGAAAATGCAACTGGAAAACAATTTAGGGAAGAGGGATGTGGCTAGACCTCTCTGGATGGATAAAGGTTTAAAGATATTTATGTCCCATGTAAATGGTCACCAGAATGTGACTTCAGCAAAAGGGGACTTTAATAACCAGACAGATGACATTTTCTGGTGATAGCAGTCAACCTCCTTCCTAGGTCACTCCGGTCGTTGCCCAGTGGGGTCAGAGGTAGCAGTTGCACACAGGTGTGGCAGTGTGGACTCCACTCACTGAGGCTGACCTGGGTACCGGCGCTGCTGAGTGCCCAGTCTGCCAGCAGCAGAGACTGACACTGGGTCCCTGATCCGACACAATTGCTCAGGTGACCTCCCTGCAGTTTGGGGGCAGCTTGATTACAGTGGATGACTTCCATCGTGGAAGGGGCCGTGTCATGTCCTCAGCAGGACAGGCACTTGCTCTGTGTTTGGGTTTGTGTTTACTGCGTGCAGCACTTCTGTCAAAGCCACTGTTGTGCTATTCCATGCTGCTTCCAGCCAAGGAATCCACCTCAGGGCCAAGGAAGCGGGGTGCCGGGCTGAAGCTCATGCAGCTCACTGATATACCTGTTCTCCACCATCCAGAAACAGCTGGGTTCGTACAGGGGTGGAATGGCCTTTGAGGACACAATTACAGCACTAACTAGGTCAAGGTACCTCGCAGGGCTGGGGTGAGGTTCTGCAGAAGGTTCTAAATGAGCTCTGAACAAACTTCCAGTATAAGGAAGTCTTTCTTCCATGGCCAGGATTCATATCACCCTTGGTGACCCACTAGCAAAGTCTTTGCTGCGTGTTTTCACGCAGAAGGATGCTGGTCTGAAAGTCTCACCTGGAGAGGGAAGGATAGCTTCTTCCAGGAGACACAATAGTGATCCCATCGGGCTGGAGTTCAGGCTTCTCCTGGCCACTATGGGGTCTCACCATCTGTGTCAGGAGGCTGAGACAGGACTTACCAAGTTGGTGGATGTGATTGTGCCAATTCACGACCCCCAGGGCCATGGGACACCAGTGGGAAGGCACAACAACCTGAGCCAGGCAGGATGACAAGCGGGTCAGACCCTCCAAGATAAGGGGGCACCTGCAGGTCAATATCAAGGGCTACTGAGGGCTTCTAAGGGACTGCAAAAAGGGGACGAGGAGAAACCTGTTACATCGCGCAGCAACGATCACGGGGCCAGTTACAGAGATAAGTTTTGTAACTGTCATAGTAATTCTTTCCTCTATTTTGTTAAGAATGTGTTTGTGAGAAGCCAGGTGTGGTGGCTCACGCCTGTAATCCCAGCACTCCTGAGGCTGAGGCAGGAGGATCATTGTGAGTTAGAGACCAGCCTGGGCTCCAAAGTGAGCTCAACGCCAGCCTGAACTGCATAGCGAGACCCTGTCTCAAACAAACAAACAAACAAACAAACAAACAAACAAAAAAACAACAACAAAAAAGAATGTGTTTGTGTGCATATCCATTCATATTGAGCAGATCTTGGCTTTCTTTCTTTGTATTCCTATGCACATTGTGTACTATAATGTAGGTTGATTTAATGTCATTATTTAAGTACTATTAAATCTGCGTTATAGTATTTAGGTTATGGGATATCAGTAGAGGAGTAAGCATCACCCCAAGGGAAAAGACTTTGGCTTCTGTCCTGGGGACGTCTTCTGTTGTCTGCAGGATGGTTGCATCATGTGAAGTGAAATTATGAACCTGTTGTTGTCTTTTTTTGGAGGTTTGGTATGGTCTAAGGAGTCTTTTTAATGTCAGATGGTCAATGGGGACACTCGTGATGGTTAAACTTGAGACACCTCAGAGAGTAGTAAAGCACACTTCTGTGTGAGTCTGTGCGGGTCGGGGCTGTCACCTGGGGGACTGTGTCTAGTGCCTGGCCCCTTGCCCTCTGGTTCCTCCCATGCTCACTGCTTCCCGGATGCCATGCGGTGAGCAGCTTTTCTCTGCCACATCCTTCTGCTATGATATCCCTGCCTTGCAGCCAGCTGGCCATAGACTGAAGCCTCGGAAACTGTGAGCCAAAATAAACCTGTATGTTGCAGGTGTGGAAGTAGGGGCAAAAATGCCTGGGTATGGTGCTTTAAATATGACCAACACACAGGAGTCCCTGCCATTCTAGACAGCTACTGTCTGACCTCTAGTGCACGAGAGGGGCAGAGGCCACCAAGTTGTGCCCAAACTCCTGACCCACAGAACCCCCGAGGGACGATAAAGTGATTGCTGCTGTTATAAGTCATCAGCTTTCAGAATTATAGTTAAGTAGCCAATGACTTGCCCAGGGCTTCTCAGTGGTAGAGCCTCAGAGCTGTCTGTTTGGTGAACCACGATACCTACACTTTTGAAATGATTTCCACTGTACTTTCTGTCTGAGCCTATTTTGTGCTACGGGAACCAGACATCTGCTGCTGGGTGATTGATAAAGAGCAGAAATCTCCAGAGTTCTGGAGGCTGGGAGTCTAGGGTGAAGGCACCCCCAGGTCAGCTGCCTGGTGAGCATGGATTTCTGCTTCCAAGATAGTCCTTGATGTGACATCTCCTGAGGGGAAGGACCCTGTGTCCTCACAGGGCAGAAGGGATGGAATAAGGGAAAAGGGCATCTCTCTCTCTGCAAGCCCTTTTATCTATGGCATCAATCTACCTGAACACCTCTCTGCAGGTCCCCATATCTCAACTGCGCTGGAGATTAAGTTTCCAACACATCTTTTTTTGGAGGGACACTTTCTGATCATGGATGGAAACTAATTATTGACTGTTAAATTATCACTCGGTTCTAATTTTAACGTGACCATGTTTGTCACTAGAATTATTAGGGTCTGGGTTATTTAAATTACAAAGCAAAGCCAGAGTTTTTCTTTTTAAAAAATTTTTTTTCTGACTTCTTTCTAGTGTAGATCAAAAGTGCCAGGGCTGGGGATTTAGCTCAGCGGCATAAGCACCTGGCTTGCAAGCAGGCAGTCCTGAGTTCGATCCCCGGTACTGATAAAAAGGAAAAAGACAAATAAATAAATAAATAAAAAGTGCCTTTCACAGACTCAATCTAGAAGGAAGGATCTGGTTAAAATGAAGATTTGAAGCTGGGCAAGATGGTGTGTGCTTTTAATCTCTCAAGAGACTGAGGCAGGAGGACCTCAAGTTCTAGGTCAGAGTAGGCAATACACTGAAACCCTGTCTCAAAAATTTGTTTCTTTTTTCAGACATCATCATAAGGACCATCTAGAGGGCTTTGCTAAAAATACATCTAGGCCTCTCTTCTGGCTAGAATCAGGCAATAAGCCCAGGAATCTGCATTTTAAATTAGTCGTTAAATGTTCAAAGTAGTGACATACATTTATGTATTTCACAGAGTTACTGGAATATAGATTAGTCAAATTTTGGCTAGCGTTTCTCCAATATGCTAATTTTAATTTCCAAGTAGCAGTCTATTTTAAGCCATTGCTTCTGGAAGGATTTGGTCTCACAGGGACTGCTGCTATCTCACCCACAGAGATAAGGATTAAGGGAACAATGATTAGTATTTATTGACCATATCTCTAATCCTCCAACTCGAGGCAAGTCCTGAGCCAGCCCAATGCATGGGAGAAGATTCCAGACTCCGAGGCTGAGGTAGGCTGAGTCTCTTGCAGCCAAGAGAATGTGGCAGGGGGATTCCAGCCCAAGCCCGTGGTCGGTGCAACACCGCCTCACAGTGCTTCTGAGCCGGTTCACTTGCAGCTGGGAAGCTGCGCTGCGTTGCGCTGTAAGTTTCTGGGAAGTGTGTTTCTATTATGTAAGAAGCGATTTTCTGGGGGGCTGGGGATTTAGCTCAGCGGCATAAGCGCCTGCCTTGCAAGCAGGCAGTCGTGAGTTCGATCCCTGGTACCGATAAAAACGAAAAAGACACACACACACACACACACACACACACACACACACACACACGAAAGAAAGAAAAAGAAAAAGAAGCGATTTTCTGGGGGACTGGGGATTTAGCTCAGCGGCATAAGCGCCTGCCTTGCAAGCAGGCAGTCCTGAGTTCGATCCCTGGTACCGATAAAAAGGAAAAAGACAAAAAAAAAAAAAAAAAAAGAAAGAAAAAGAAGCGATTTTCTGGTGCGGTGCATCATCTGTGCTGCTATCAGGACACATCTCAGCTCGAAACGACTGCTCTACCATCAGGACCAATCAAATCGGGAAAGAACGCGGATAAACTGCAAAACGAGGTGCTGCCTTTGGTTGATGAGTTTGGAAGAATTTATTCTTGGGCTTCCTGGGGACTTGTTGAGGAGCTGCCCGGCATAGTGTGGGAATTCTCTGGGGAGTTTTAAAATAAACAAAATGCTCCATACCCCTGGGGGTTCTTCTATGTGTGGGCAACTGCTTGTAACACATGCTTGCACTAGGAATTTGGCATCTCCGCAGGAATTTGTTACACATTTTATTTACTTCATTTTTTTTGAGACAAAGTCTCACTGTGTGGCCCAAGCTGGCTTCAAATTTGTGGTGATCCTCCTGCCTCAGCATCCCTAATGCTAGGATTGTAGGCATGTACCACTACCCCCAGGTGGCTGTAATCTAATTTGAAAGGAAAGCATGGTTGTTGGTGAACTCAAGCATATTCCTGTTCCAGATAGTGAATAAAATGTGTGTG